AAGGGAATATAAATTGTTCACGCATACATCAATATAACGAGGTCCGGATGGTTGAGGGTTACCAAATCCAATTCTTTGAACTACCCTCATCCGCGTCTTTGACCTCAATTCTTTTGGCTTCGATAAAAATGTTTGACTTGATTTATCGTTTTATCTGTAGCCGTAATGAATAAGCTTTTGGTTTTATAGTTTTGACTACTAACTATTTAAGAACCATAACGGCCTTCTTTATAAAGTAAAAATAAGATGATTTAGGTTAATAAACGGAAGTTTTATTCGATTTCGTGCTCGCTATTTTTTAGGATTACTCGCAAAAATTTGAACCGCGAAAAGAAGGATTTGGCGTAGTCTCTTTGATTTCTTGATTCGCATTGAGAAAAATAGGCAAGGCGAAATTCAAAATCTTTTGCTTTCTATTGATAATAAGTCATAATGCTCTGTCTCCGAAATTGTCTCTAGATAACTGTAAAAAGTAAGCCGTCCTTGAGAGTAAACCTAACATAAAGGCCACAGAAGCCTTCATTACTTGATTAAAAAAACAGACTGACGAGGATCAAGTTAGGAGTCTTAGGTGAGCACAAGTTCAATGCACAATTGGTCAGTTTTCATTACGGACCAATGTAGTTTTGATGAAGGTTTATTTTTCTCTCATTTTCTTCCTTCATGATAAAGGCTGACGATAAACTTTGCGTTACGGGTGCGTCGTTTACTATGTCATGAAAACGTTCAAGCACTTTAATTTTTTTACGGGTGGCGAGAATTAAATGTCGACGATTTTTAGGTTTGTTCGTTTGTTCAATTCCTAATGAAACATTTCTTAGACACTCAAAACGATTTAAACAAACTATCGATTTTGACAACGATTTAAAAAAACATATATGTATATACGTATGGGTATATACTGGCCAAAGTTATACCAACAGTGTTATGATTTGTAGCTGGCTAGCTGCTCATATCCACTCAAACTGAGGTTTACCAATGAAAATATCATTTAGCAACTTGGTCCTTACCATAGGTTCTTTATACGATATGAAACATGAGGTCGAGGAAATCGGTAAGATTAAATGCGCCTTTTACACAAGCGCATAGAAAGAGCATCCCACAAGGAAGCGATACAAGGTGAAACGTATATAAATCATTCTCGCACACAATCATGTAGTGAGTTCCGGATGGTTGAGGGTTACTAAATCCTAATATTGACCACCCCTCGTCCGCTTCTTTGACATCACTTCGTTTTACTTCCTTAACAATTTTTTGACTTGATTTATCTGTTATCATTACCCTCGAAGAATAGGCTTTTGGTCTACCATTTGAAAATCGCAACGGTCTCCTTTTTAAAGTTAAATATAAGATATTTTGTAGTAACTAAAATGATCTATTCTACATGTTTCTAAATACAAAGGTATTGCATCAAGCTGGAAACTGCTCTGATCTGGCTATGGTGTAAAGTGATATTAACTTGTGAAGAGAAAGCAATTATTTTCCTTATTTTTGTGACATTCGCTGCTGGACAGCAGCAAGCTCAGCTTGTTTTTATTTCCCTGTTAGTAATAATTTCTGCCAATATTTCTTCGTTTTGCCAGAATATCAATTTCTGATGAAAAATGTCTCAAAATGGTACAAAAATTGTTGATGGTGATAAAAATTGAAATAGCCATGTGTGTTGGGTTTGTAATATAATTAACAATATTCTGTCAGCAAAATTCTAACTTAGTGATGGCTAGTTGCCCATATCCACTCATAATGAGGTTTATTAATGTACATATCATTTACTACCTTAGTCCTCATCATAGTTTGTTACTAAAATATGGAATAAAAGCTTCAAATGAGGGAAATATTTTAAGTAGCAATGGTCTTATTACGAAAGCGCAAAGACAAAGTATCCCACATGGAAAGGCTACCAGACAAAGAGGAAATAAATTTTTCATGCTTCCTGCCTCTTATCGAGGTCCGTATGGTTGAGGGTTACCAGATGCAGATCACATCTTTGTCAGCCCTCAACCGCTTCTTCGACCTCATTTTTCATTACCAAGTAATGCTACTTGAATAATTTGATAAGTTTTCCTACAAGCCTTTTGATCTAGTTTTTTGTTCAACAATTTGGACTATTGTTTGAATATGGTAAAAGTGTTCATTGTGAATTCAATCGTAATGCGAGCGAAGGGGGCTCTTTATTTTGTTATTTCCTTGCAAAAAAAAATTCGCTTGCTGAAATTGGAAGTTTTTTGCTTTTACATATAAATAAAATAAATAAGCTGTGCTTGCGACGTGAGCCAACGTAAAACCTATGGAAACCTTCATCACGTGATTTGCAATCAGAGTGACGAAATAGACTTTTTAAGAAATTTGTTTACCCATTGCAGGTCTCAAAGGAATTCCCAGCTTTATCTTTTGAGCGTTATGCGCACACATTCACGTGAATAAGAGGAAACTTAAAGGAAACATCTATTCAGAGTATTATCACCCAAAGTAAGTAAACTAAATTTACAAATAGCAGAGTTTTATTAAGCTATGAGTCTTTGGTGGCCCGAATGGGTCATTTTTGAAAAGAGATATGTTCCGATATGAGGGTTTATGTAAACCTCCTACAAAAGAAATCTAACACCTCCTTTTATGCTAAAATTGACAAAGATCTCACTTTCCTCAACCAAAACATTGTCAAAAATACGATTAACGATCTTATAGCTAAACAAGAACTGCCGGATACTGCAAAATATCTCACTATCACCACTCCTAGAACTTTGTGTACTTACTTTTTAACTAAATTCCACAAACCTAGCAACCCAGGTCGACCCATTGTTTCTATCTGCTGTTGTCCCACCGAACTCATTTCCACTTATTTCCAGCTATTTAGACAAAATTATGGCACTTCTCGTCCAAATGTTACCATCTTACATTAATGACAGCCAACACGCACTTGAAATTTTTCGTGACTTAAATTTCCTTGGCCAATACAAACTTATTTCCCCTATGGGTATTATCTGTAGCCCCATTTTCTTTTTATAGACCCACACACAACCCACATACAACCCAAAATTCCTCCAATAGCTCTGGCAAAGGGCTAACGCTCGAAACGTCAGCCTTTAAACTCTTTACTGTGGCCAATTTATGTTTTCAACTCAGTGATAATAATAAATTGCCCTGTTATACTCTCCCACCGACTCAGCACCACAGTTCCTTTATTCATTTGTATTTAGAAGCTAATAAAACCGAAGTTTATTATGATTGAACATATCATTTTCTAAATTAGTCCTTACGAAAGGTTTTAGTATGGTGATACTCATGGATCAAAAGGTTAAATTAAAGGAAAATATTCAATTTTCAATGGGCTTTTTACGCAAGCGCAAAGACAAAATATCCCACACGCTGGCGATACTTTAGAGTGAGAGAATATAAAGGGGTTGGAATGTTTGAAGATGTTAAATTGTCAAACTTGATGACTGCCGGGCTCAGCTATAATTTTTGACTTGATTTCTCGTGTCATCTGAAGCCGCATTGAATAAGCTTTTGGTTTATAATTTTGACTACTATTTGAGAATCATAACGGTTGTCTTTATAAAATGAAAAGATGATTTGGTTTAATACATGTATATGGAAATTTTATTGATTCTGCGCTCGCCATTTTTTAGGATTAATCGCTAGAATTTGTAATGCGAAAAGTAGGATTTGAAGCAGTCTCTTTGATTTCTTGATTCATACAAGGCAAAATTCAAAATCTTTCCATCGATAAGAATTTATAGTGTTCTACCTTCCGAGTTTGTCATCAGGTAACTGTGAGAAGTAAGTAGTGCTTGCGAGAAAACCGAACATAGCGGCCACAGAAGCTTTCATCACTTGATTAAAGAAACTGACCTACGAAAATTAAGCTTTGGTACATTTTCCCTCTTTATGATAAAGGCTGACAATAAACTTTGCGTTACGGGTGCGTCGTTTATCATGTCATGAAAACGTTCAAACACTTTATTTTAAGAGTGGCGAGAATTAAATGGAGATCTCGGTATTTTTTTTCTCCTAAGTATAGATTTTACATTTTTCATATCTAAAAGTAATAAAATATCCCTTCTTGACATTTGTCAGAGCAAGTCGACCGTAACCTTCCGAGTACACCGACACATTTCTGTAAATACGCGAATCCTGATCAATATGCTAAGAAAAACGTTCTACTTTACTCCTGTTACCATCTTTGCCATCTGTATGTCAAACAGATAGCTTAGAGACATCATCGTATATCTGTAATTAGACATCCACAGTTACTCGAAGCTCCAATTTTTTTCGCGAACTTAACTTAGGAATTGGAAACGTGAGCGCCTCTCAGAATAGATCACTTCCACGGACGAATATCCGCGCGTAGGTTTCGCGCTAAATGAAGGCAATATTCAAATCAACTATAGGCAAGGCGTTTAAAGTGCGGTTGTGTCTTTGTTCTGGGTTAAAATCGTTGACATGGTAGCGCTGAATTGGTGCAGGATTATTTCTGATTCTACCTCCAACATCTGGATCCTGTAAAAGCTTTCTGACTACCCAAACTGGGGGTTGAGTCTTAAAAAAATAGCAGTTTGCACAATCATTAGAAAACCGCAAAACCTATGTGATGCAGTGGAAAAGTCGATCATTGGTTTTGTCATCTAAGTGCTTTGGAGGACCAGAGGACAAAATATATTTGAAAACCTTTTTATTTTATTTTTTGTTTTCCCTTTAATCTATCAATTCTTCAAACATGTTAATGTGTCCAGATGTATTTTAATTATGCCGAGAAGCACCTGCCATGAGCCATAAATAAATGTGTCAAATTTCCTATGAGAATTAATGAAAAATCCAAAGGATCGAAGGAAATGTGTATGAAAAGGTCGACTAACTTCGCTTCTGCTGAGTTAAAAAAATTGTTTCAAAACTTTCTTTGATATTTCAGTTCAGTAGTTTCATGATGTCTCATTAACTGCGAGAACAAGAACTGAGGTCTGTAAATTAACAGCCAGTGTTTTTCCACCATTACCATGGATGCTGAGTTAAGACAATTAATAATTTAAAGTGAGGAAAAAATTTGCATATTTGTGCTTGTTTTGCAAACCAGTAGCTCCTCGAAAATCGAGGAAATTATGCACAATACGTTTTACTCTCAGTAGAAGAAGAGAAATTTCGCGAACAAAGGAAGAAAATGTGGAAATGTTTATTTCTTTTCCTATTCTTTCGTGAGGTAAAGTTATTTTTGTGTGTTTTTCTTTAAATGAATTTCTCACCTGGCACTTGAGTCCGGAGAGTGACTGTCGACTCATCTGATATTTCTCTGTAGGCCGAAAAGGTTTTTTCTGCCAATGAAACAACTTCAGTGACCGTAACGGGTAAGTAAAGGCTATGAAAATTCCGAAATTTGATGATCAAGTTAGAACCACATTTGAGGTAATATATCATTATTATTTTTCCACAAAACCAACCGTTAATGAAGTTTGCTCTTATGCATGCGAGACATATTGTTTATTCCGTTTTCTGTAAAAGTTTTACAGCGCATTGAATAAGAGTGAACAGATAAGGAAAAAATTTCAACCGCTCATAAAAGTCCCCAATTTCCTCGCTTAACTCTGACTCTTAGTGGGCCCCAGAAGTTTTACGGGGTAATTTTAAGGTTGACCTATTATTCATGATTGAACTGCGGTTGGTCTATGCGGAAGACTTTATCATCACTGACCGAAGATCGTTGACTTGTTATCTTGTAGATGAAAAATATATTTGCACTTTACCTAGATTCATTTTGACTTTTATGCCACAGATGGCCAGAAATTGTAAAATTGCATGGGTTTTTACAATTAGGTTGCCAAGATGTAATTGCAATGCTATCGTCTTACATGTTGTGTAAACACACGCACAGGAGCCATTACTGACTCTCTGAAAACCATCATGGATTTAATTTTACTTGGCAATGAAACCTTCAAGATAAAAACAGTGGGCTGACGGTTCAGTTAAGTAATCACCCACGAATAAATTGAATGAGTCCACTAGTATGTTTGGGTCAGTGACAAGTAATTAAGACTCTTCAAAGTTGCAATGCCACGGTACAGAAACACGACGGTACTAGGTTTCTAAGAATGGTTCATCCTGGAGTCAAAAGCAACCTCGAACCTTTCCTTCTACACGCCATTGCTCTAAAAGTATCACGTGACTAAATATCCCCGGCTTAGACTGAATATCCCCGGCTTAAACAGAGGATATCCAAGTGATGTTCACCAAATTTCAATCAAACCCAATTTATGAGAGAACGTTTCGTCCTTGCTCGGAAACAGCTATTAAAATGTCATCTCTTTAGAAAAGCAGTATCTAGGTAGCCACGACCCAAAGATTTCAAAAAACTTTTGAATTATTCAATCTCTAAGGGAAGCAGCATCCTAAACGCGCATGGAGCCATTCCAGACATGTCCGTGCAGAAGGATTTTTTTTTAAATAAGAGACCTAGAATGCTTTGGCTCAATTTAAAGGCTTATTTAAACATTTCTACGGAGTCAAATACCTTATGGGCTCTCATTTTCTCGTGATTAAGATACAAGTGCAAGAAACTCTCCCTGTATCTACAATGTAGTCTAACTTTAAAAACAGATTGAAAGAAGACAGAAAATGCCTTTGAAGATCATATTTTAACCCAAGATCGGGCTAATGAATCATTATCAAATGTTTTTAATCGTTTAAATTTTATTTCGCTCGATGTTACAAGTACATAAACAAACAACGTTGCGTTCTAGCCGTGTGTTTTTGAATGCTCAAAGTTTTCAGGAAATTTTTTTCCATTTCTTTGTGCGTAGCAACTAAAGCTCTTGTAGAATTGTCTTGGTCAAATTGTCTGTGAAAAAAATGTTACCCAGTCACATAATTGTCTATTTTTCAGAGAGCACGATATCATACAGTACGGCAAGTGTCTCGGCTAGCGCAGATGTCTCACCCAATGCTCAGTCGGACAGTACCGCTTTTTCTCGAACAGTGACACTGGAACTGAGTCAATCCATACTTGGCGACAATTCTGAAAACATCGTTCAACCGTCGGCAACCGCTGCCTCGCAGCAAACGTCGCAGACCATAAATGCATCTGTGACAGGTACATCTCTGTGCTCTGCGGAAGTTCAGTTTTGTTTCTATTAACTATTTGAGGTTAATTCTCCATCTACTTTGTTACATAGCTATCGTGAGTGCATTTTGGTTTAAAATACTTTGACGTAAACATTAACTGCGATTATTCCGCAGAGGGAATCAACGTTATCCTCGTTACAAATTGCACTTCTCATCGTTTCAAAACAAGAATGTCTCGCCCATAATCTCGACCACTGAAATGATGTCGAAGTACCCAATCGAAACCTTCTTATATCACTCTTCCTGTAGTGTGCTTGGATGCAGCTTCATTCATTTTGCAACTGTTGCATACCTCGAAGTTGACCTAAAAAATTGTCAAAATTGCCTTACTTTTCATGGCTCTAGGATTCATTAGTAATTAGATGCGCAACTGAGAAGTTATTTTGTTTAAATCACGATGCTAATCGCATTTCAGCTCCCCCCGAACTGGGTTGTATGAATGTCGACTGGAGTGATCCCGAATGTCAGGATGTAAAGTGCGTTGAGGTAAGTAAACAAAAACTTGAAGTGGTTTTCATGATTTCTTACGGGTAATTCTTGATGAGAATAGAGATCGAGACCAGTTAGGATTGAGGATTCAAGGAGAATGGGTCACTGATTCGTATTTTTATGCGTATAACAATGATTTACCGGGTGTTGTAGAACTCAAGAAAACCCTCACACAATAAGGTGAAATAGTTTGTAACTAAAATAAATTGGCTTTGTAATGATAAGAAAGCGCGTACCGCTGCTGATAAAGCAGTGGTCAATGAAGTTCCAGTCCATGGAGAAGTTCTGTTCAAGTTACTTTGCGCACTCTGTTGAAGATGCAAGACCTCCACTTCTATAGAAAATTGAGAGGCACATACGTTTTTAGGCTACAGTGAGGGGTCTTAGCATAATCACGATCGGGGAATGATTTATTTGCGTAAAAAAACGGTCACAGCTTTGCCATGCAAATTCATTTTTACTACCCTTAGACATGATTGTTAAGATATACGTTTCTTTTAGGATCAGATGGATGCCGTGTCCAACTGTATGAAGGTAACTTGCACTTACTTTTGAATATAAAACTGGAACAAGTAATTATCATTTTTTTCCCGCACCCACCCGCACACCAGAGAAAACGAAATTCTAACTTCCTTGACCCTTTTAATTGACAGATATTCTCGAGGCTTTGGCCAATATCATCATTTGGGTTTAAGATTTGCTAAACACGTTTCAAGAAAATCTCAAAAAACAAGAAAAACTCAAGAAGATCACCGCATAGTTGTTTCTCATTTATGCAGCAACAACGTTGCGAAATATTCGTAAAAATTATCCAAATCCAAATAAATTTAGAATGAAAAGATTGAAATACTTTCTGTGTTTTCTTAGGACAAGCCGGAAAATTTTTCTTTATCAAATATGAAGGTCCCTGAACAGGTCGTGAAGACGGGAATGTCCCTTGCAGAGGCGATACGGAGTAATGATGAAAACAAGACTAGAGTCATTATCACGGATAATATTGGTGAGCATCTCAACCACTGCAACCAAGAGATAAACTAGGATAAATTTCTCATTACTTTACGTGTGGAAACTTCTCTTAATGATCTCGCTATACGTAATTACAGCTGGTCTAGTTCTGTAAAGGAGTAAGGAGCAGTGCAAAATACACATTGCGGACCCACTTTTTCCTTACGCTCAAAACCAAAAAAAAAACCAGCCTGTTTTGACTCAGATTAAAATTGCAATCTTGAATGTAGTCTTATTTATTGCTTTCAGCTATGGAAGTCGGTCTCTTTAACAGTGGGGAAATGAAAAACAACTTTAAGAAACCTACACTCGTATTTCCCAACTACTCTGACCCAAAATTCACTGGCAAATGGAAGGCCATGGGTGACTCTGTTGCATTCACAATGGATAAGCTTCCTTTCGAAGGTAACAACAAAGCTATAGAGGAGTAGGGGAGGGAAAGAACAGTGTTATTTACTTATAATAAAAGTTTGATGGTGTTCTCTTTTGATCAGTTTACTCGACCAGCGAACATCCAAAATAGCTCCACTGTCCTAAACAACATTTTCCCAGCTAAACTATCCAAGCAAGAAATCCGGTTGCCTTAGCCACTCTTCAAGAGTCCAGGTTCTTGTACCCTTTATGGTCTGATTTCTTTGGAGCCGCATTAATCCTACACAGAATTTTCCTTTGAGAATTTTTTTCGTGTTAGCTTACTAGGTGACGAATTTGTTAACCACAAAAGAGAGGCAAAAAACTAACATTTACGTAAGAGTAATAACTGTATTTGGTTCTTTAGTGTTGGTGAAAGTGTTCACAGCTTGGTAAATATCCACTCTCCACTTCGGAAAAAGATTTTTGATTATTTTCTTTTCAGGAGAAGTCGCGTATTCTGTCGCCATTTTGCCTGATGTCGTGGGAGAATCATATCTGGATAAAGATATGATTGCTTGGCAGGACAAGTAAGCACAAGCCTTTTTTTATCAAGCTTTGTTTAGCATCGGGATAAAGAAAACAGCTCCCATCTAAAAGATTGCGGTATCTTTCAAATATTTTCATCTCTCCTCCCTCTCTCATCCCTCTTAACAATTCTCGCTTAAGTATATCTTCCTGTGAGTGCTTTGAACAAAAATTATCACGACAGAACCAATATTTCAGAGAGCTGGGTAACCAAAATTAATGGCCACTCATCAAGAATAAGCATGTTCAGGAGACCAAAGGAAGGAAAAGACATTTTAAACTTAACTTATAGAGTCTCTCTTTGATTGGCTGGACTGGGTTCGATCGCCTTGCTTGATATCTTACGGTTCTAATTTCTTCTTACATGTTAAGGCTTGAATTTTGAAAGTTTAACATTTCCAACCTGCGTTCGTTTTCTCCATCATAAGCTGTCCTTGTTCGTTATTGATTTTTTTTTTCCGTTTCTATTTTTTTCATTTTATCGATCAAATGTTTTTAGTCACTATCTAGTTGAAGAAGATGTAAGTTGGGTACGTCCCTCGACTCCTTCCCCTTCCTTACCATAAAACAAAGTTTAGATATCGTAAAAGAGCTACGTGAAACATGGTCACTTCTTTCTTATTTAAAGCCATATTCCAGATTCAGCTCTGTCTGAGTTGTACGTGGTGGGTGACAAACTTATGACCCGAAAGGAAGTTCCAAGGAGACGAATCAACAGCAACTTGCTCTCCGCGGAATTTCGTCATAAAAATAAAAGTGAAATGCTGAGTGGACGGCTGGAAAAACCAGCTTTGATTACTTTAAAACATCGTCATGTAAGCAAATAACAATTACTATAGCTTTCATAAGTCCATGTGGGAACGCGGATATACCAGGATAGCAAACACTTACCACTTATTTAGCCCGATGGCGTGATTTTGACGGGGGAGTTCTCAGTATTTTATCGGTGGAAATTCTAGTTTCATCAGCAGCCAAGGTAAGAAGTAGGATTTCAATAATGGAATGTTGGGAATGAGTGCATGGCTGGTGGGAGGAAGTAAATCAGGTGATAAATGAATAACTAGTTAAGACCAACTTCTTATTTCATGAAATTAGACGTGAATCTTTTTTTCCTACAGACCACTGAAGATCATTTTGATCCAAGATGTGTTTTCTGGGATGGAAAGTAAGAGAAATGTATAGGTCGCTAATAGCTTTTTACAACGTAAAATCTCATATGCTAATATACGACAGCTCGAAAAAGGTGATCAGGCAAGTTTGATGATCCTATTGATAGACGGTATATTATCTACCTAGTGAGGAAGGTGATCCTATCGGAGGCATGGTATTTAGCTAATGAGGAAGGTTAGGAAAGAATTTTAAAAGATTCCCGAGATGTAGTGGTTCAATGTAATTTTCCTTTGCCACCATGAAAGATGATTGTACGTGTGAGCTGTAGAAACGTCTATTTTTTTTCTCCATAATTTGTCATTAGAGGTAAATCGAAGTCCTGGTTTATTTCCTTTAACGTTGTTTCATCTTCCCTTTTTTAGCCTCGAGGCGTGGTCCAATGATGGTTGCAAAGTTGGAAAAACCGGAAAATCAGAGACAGTCTGTGAATGCACGCATTTTTCAACATTTGCACTGATAATGAGCGTAAATGAGAAGGTAGGAGAGTCTCATCACATTATGATAAAGCCCTATAATATTCCTTACACGTGTGTGCATACTTTGATATGATATCGCTCTTACACCCTTACTTCCTTGCCGCTATCAAAGTCGAACAGCTGTTCGGAAGGAAAAAATTGGTTATAATCATGAATAGAACAAGTTTTAATTCTCCTTTTAAGCTGTCAAATATCGTCATTTTTCACCGCAAGAGAGTACTCTCTTTTTCACAGGTGAGTCGTCATAATTTGAAAGTTATGCTTATAGCTTTGAAGTAATTTTTCGGCGCATGTACTTATCGTTTCAGGTGGATGACGCGGATCGCAAAATGGTTGTTACTGTGGCTACTGTACTGGGATCATTCTCATTGCTTGCTCTGCTGATCTGTGCTGCCGTCGCCATTGTTCTCACGTAAGAACATTTCGTGACACTGCTTTTTGAGATCTATCTTCAGGCTGGTTTTAAGGTTTCATGATAGCATGATCGCAAGAAAAAGGGCTCGAATGCTCATTAGAGAGAAGAGCTAATAAAGAACATACCGATGACAAAAATGAGTTTCATTTCTTCTCTTAATTGACAGCCCGTTTTAATAAATGCAGTGCGCATTTTTCTGGTGGAAAACCTACGATGATGAGAATGGAAACCGATATAGGCCTTAAATTCAAGTACATTCCGCATTGCAGCTTTAGCTAGCCCAAATGGACTGAAAATAAAATTATCACTTTAGAATTTTGGATTTGTCTCGTAGAGAGACCTGCTCATAATTTAGTGAAATAACCTTTTAATTTGCTGATGATATCAGGTAAGCTAACGATTCCGAACTGAGTCATGGCGACAAAAAGCCAAATCAAAGAAAGAAAAATAAAAATGTGTATAAAGTAGACAGAGTTTTCATTTTTACATTGCCTTGCTGATCAGTGGATACGCAATTATTTCCTTCAGCTATCATCAGAGGGACAACATGCGGATTGCTCTTAACGTTGATGTATCACTTCTGCTCAGTCAGCTGGTTTTCTTCATTGGTTTATCTACCGGCGATAATTCGGTGAGAACAATTTGAATGAGATCTCATCCACGTTAAGAGAACGGTCATTATTTATTTCCTTGAAGGGGGGGGAGGGGTTGATGGATTTTGTTTGTGTCACGATGAAATTTATATGATCCCATCTTAAGGTTCTGTAATGTTGTTGTGATTTCCCCTAGGTGGCGGTTGGTCGGCAATCAGTCTACTATACTCCTCTCTTTAGACTCTGTTGGCGACGACTGATCTCCCCTCCGTTTCCTCTGAAAACTATCCGAACCACCACCCCCACCAACCTCATACCCTACGTCGGTAAATAATGATTAGTCCGCTTGAGTCACTTTTACCTATCATTATACTAAAAAGCCTGTCATTCTAACATTTCTTCCCATTCTGAGAAATATTTTGTTAAAATAATCTCAGTAATAATCCCATTGCATCTCTCGTCGTAGTATTTCGCCAAACCCAAAACATGTGATGTGGTCAATCCTTTCGTGCACTTTTTTGAGCTGGCAGCTCTAACGTGGTTGCTAATGGAAGCAGTGCACTACTACTCCACGCTCAAGCCACTGTTCAACGAGAAAAACACTGTACCCATCGTGTTTTATTTCGCTGTGGGGTGGGGTAAGTTGTAAAAGTTTTCTTCGGCCTTTTGACTGAGAAAGTTCATTATACGGTTCTGTAGGAATGATACCAAATCCTTAATCTTTTTTTTTAACCCTGTGAATAGAGCTTTTAACTTGGATGAAATTATAACAAAATTAAAACTCCGAATAACATATTGAATTGTTATCTGACTTTCATCGTTTATTAATTGGCGGATAAAGGCTTTATTAAAGTAATTATTGGGAAAACATTACACCAGAACTTTGACGAATTCAGTATCTTTAAATCAACAGAAATTGAAATCCTACTTTAAAAGCCCAAGTGTTTTCATAGGATATCTTTTGAGAGAATAAAGTCATAGGCTATCAGCATTAGTTGGCGTGGGTGATCTCAAAAACACAGTTTGCTTTCAAAATCCTTGTACTTTCAGGAGTACCTGTAGCTTTTGCTAGCGCATTGGCGGACTTCGCGTACCCTCACTTTGGTGATCCCGGAAGGAGTGAATTGTAAGTTTTGTTCAACAGTTTTCTTGCCAATCGATAATTTGTAGGAATTTTCAAATTAGACGTAATGAGAATGACAATCATAATTTACAGATCTAGCATCACGCTTATCGCAATTTCGAACGACTATAGTGTAAATGTTCACGATTAGGAACACAATAACCATCAATTTCTATGGCGAGAAAAACGTAAGCAGCGAAGAAATTTGTCGGACGTTATAATGTGCTCCATTGTCTGTCGTTTTCTTTCTTTTTGAAACTATCATGGGATGGAGGTACGAAAGAGGAAAGGTGCTTCGTGTGCATCCCTTCATTGATAGGAAGCAGTTGAAAGATTCGGGTGTGATTATAATGCCTTATCTTTATTTCATCCTTCGTAGTTGTTGGATGTCTATTCGCGGAGGTGAGGCCTGGTTCTTTGGAACACAAGTTTTGGTTCTCGTTGTGGTGAGTTTGAGAGCCTGCAGGCCATCATCATTAGCGCGATAGGATGAGCGTTTCTCGGCCTTCGGGAAGATTTCAGACCAGTCGGACGAGGTCTACCAGGGGTCTGGTACTTATTATTATCAGTGCCGGACCTTTTCCTCTCGCCGGTTCGCGTTGCACAAAGCGTCATAATTTCTCAAGGGCAAAGGAACGCTCGCACTTTTTCCCTGATAGTGAGGCCGGACCTGCTTGCATGATATGATTTTGAATTTTATGATTATGCTGCTGCAGATGATAATTTAAATTGGATAATCTATAAATCACTGCAAGGTTTAATCCTACCGGAGTAAATTGGTAGCTTCAGTAATAATCATAATAATTAGCCGACTCATTGACTTATCGTGATCTCGTAAGACTTATAATAATCAACTCCCTCTCGATGATTTTTTTTTAGCTGAATCTCGCCGCCCGTGCGTTCATCGCGAAGGAGATTGCTTGCTGGGAAGGTGATCCGGATGACATCAAAATTGAAAGGACCAGGTATTATGACGAAGATATATATCGTGTATATTTTTTTCCGGTCTTATGGGAGCAACCAGGGTAACATTTAGTACGTTTTTAAGAACTAATTATCGTCAAACGTGATGCAGGAATCGGATGTTGACATCTTTAGTGCTAATGGTGGTGATTGTGATGACGTGGCTTTTTGGTGTCTTGGCTATGAACAACACGGACAGAAAGATCTTCCACTACGTCTTCATTGTCTTCTACACATTCCAGGTTAGAGACCAAGCAATGGATAATCGTCTTGACCCTTTATCTCCCAGGATCTCATTAGTAATTCTCCTTACTGTCTCTCATACAGTTCTTGTGATGTTAGTTTGGAGAATTTGGTATTGGATCAACTTATAATTCCCTTACTGATATTTTCCTTTATTCTCATGACTTGTATGCTTGACATTGGATTGATATTGTAAGGAGAAATTCTGTCTTGGTCAATCATGGGAGGTAAAGGGTTAATCTCGTCTCTCATTGACCATTTCACAACCAAGATCTCCTAACCGTCTGCTCTGCAATTCCTATGATGTAATTTCAGAGAATTTGGTATTGGATCAACCAATAATCCCCTATTTAAAATTTTTATTTATTCTCAGTTAGTCTGCTTGATATTGTATTAATACTATAAGGAGAAACTCTGTTTTGGTCACTCGTGAGATTTAAAGGTTTAACGGTTATACTTCTGTATGAAGGGGTCTCCCTTTGAACCCCGATATGAGACGTACTCTAGGATTCACTTTTCGCACATACACGCCTACAGGTTTTCTTTAGTTTTGAGACAACAAAATAAACATTAAGTAACCATAGTGATACAGGTATCGAGTCAAAGTGAATTGGTTGGCTGAATAGATGGTAGCACAGTTAGACATCAGATATCACTGAATTCTGTGTTATCCCCTTTTTTACGAAGACTGAAAGCTTCATCATTGCAAACATTTCAATTTAATCACCGATCGACGTTGAAATACAGTGCTCCTGCCGGTTATAAGGTTATTAAACACAAGAAAAATCTGTTTTCCACTACAATACTTCCAGCTGATATGTATTTTGTTTACTTTGCAGGGTCTACTGGTTCTGCTTTTTTACTGTGTCCGCAACCAAGAGGTAAGTGTCATTTATCATATTTTGAAGATAGTTAAGGTTATTCGGCTCCCAGGTCTCTCTGCCTCAGGGAATGATCTGTTCCAAATGACGCAAAAATGACTTTGTGACGCAAAATTTAAAATGAAACAGAAATGAGCCGGGGGGATTAATTTAATTTTTTTTTCCAGATATCAATGAGTTCATCAGGTGGGAAAACAAAGGTAGCGTGTGGACGTCTCTTCCTTTCGAAAGTAGAGAGGGAGAGGCACGTCCTTTTTTAAGCTGTCACGTTAGTGTCTGATCTCGTGTCCAGATCCTACCGTGTAACTGTAACCAATGTACCACTTGGCCATAAAAGGTTTCGGTACGAGACTAGTTGGTATCATCAATATTGTCGGAGAGTAGGCTGTTCCAAACGTCCAGTTAAACGAAACGCGAGGGTAAAGCGCGCCACAGTAAAGGAGGAGGGTTAAAATGAGGGAGACTTGGGTTCTTGTAGCGTAATTAACGGCGTCCTCTACGCGACGCGACGCGACGCGACCCAACCTGCCGGCTATTTTCACTCTGCCGTTACTGTCGCGCTGTTCACGATTTTGTAAGGATTTTGCACAGTCGTACTTGCATAACGCCCAGAGCAGGCCAGTCCAAGAAATGAAATGAAACTTTAATTTCAATGTTATTTGCAGATGTGGGACTATCGAAAAGATAAAAAGGACGAGGAAGAGAAAGAAAAGGTAATAATCAGATATTCAGAAACGACAACAAAACAAACGAACATAAAACAAAGCGTTTTTCACTTCTTCAGTAAAGACCTCCCTCTAAAGGCATGGTTATACAGGGATCTTCCTGTGCATAATTGTAATTCCTAAGAGTAAACAGCAGCTGGTTTCTCCTTACAGCGTCATCCTTGAATCACACATTAAGACCGTGAGAATGAAGGAAATTATCAGAATGAAACAAGTTTTCCGGAAAACGAGGGCCTTGTCAGTAGTACGGGAAATGTAGAAGAAACAGTATGGAGAATTTGCGTATTGATGTTAGGGACTGAAGCGTTAAACTTATTAATGGCAGTTGTCCCAACGATACAAAACAGCAGCAAACAGTCAAACATGCAAAGAGAGAGCAGTTAAGAACTAAAACGAAATTCTAAGCCAAGAAACGTTGTTATCTTCGGCGTTGACGTTGTGTCTCCAGTAATTGTCAAAAATTATTTTCAGTTATTGAGTCTGATCTTTGTACCTTATCATACCCAAAAATAAATCGTTTGATAAAAAATGTGCATAAAAAGACTGATCTAGTTTACCCAGTTAGCATACCTTATATATTTTAACAAATATATTATTCCGTTTTTTTTTTCAGAACAAAACCTACGACTTCGTGTACCATCCATGAGAGCAACAAGTATACCCTCAATACTAGATAATTTTGTAAAAACGTTTGGTAGAAGATTGCACTTTTATTCGTTTCATTTGCGAACTAAAAGGGACTTACAAAGAAATTGCCCTTTTTGTAGATGGTGAAAATTAGTTAAAGCTACCATGATATTGAAGTTAAGCTTCTTAGAGATTCGCCTGTTTATTGCACTAAAACAAAATTATTTGCATTAACTGTAAACAAGAGACTGTTTATACGTCCCTGTAGGATTGATCGGGGATTATTGTTTGGGTGATTCTGAATAAGTGATAATCCTTAGACGAGTTTGAGAATTGAGATGAGAAGTTTACATAGATATGGCCTTAGTAACAAGACTTCACTGGTAGTTAAAAATCTATCAATTAATTTATCAATTCAAGTGCAATCTGGCGATAAGTATTGCTCTTCTCATTACTATGTAATTCTACACAAGTTCCCTTTGAGGACTAAAGATGTTAATAAACACCGAATAACAATCTACTGCAGCATATTTCACTTGTCTTCTAACTCAGTACTGATCGCTCGTAGGCGCGAAAGGATGAAGATTTAAGAGAAATGCTACACCCTGTTCCTTATACGACCGTCCTGGTCACCCCTAGTAGTCCAAAATAATGCCCCTGCATTCGGGAGGATTGAATGAAATCCAATAGAGAGAGTCACCAACGACTGAGCGACCACAATCGTCCACGGTGTAGAGATGTAGAGAATGCGTAAATTGGCTTATTTTACACAGCAGCGCGCCAATTCTTTAGGAGTTATTATTGCTATTATTAATTTTAACCTCGTTTTGAGCGCCTTTTTACTGAACAACGGCTGCAAAGGAGAACAGGATCATCTCAACGTCTGAAAAACTAGGGTGACTGGAACGACCTAGCAATAAAGTGGGATCCACGCCTTATGGGACAACCAGCTCGCGAAGGAAATGAAGAAACTCAATGCTGTCCTCACTAACAAGAGCTATTTAAAAATTTTAATAGCAAATACTATGACCAAGATGCCTTATTTCAATAACAAAGCTAATTACATGCCTTTAGAGAAAACAAAACACTGACTGGTGAAGACTTCTCAGAGAATCAAGCAAACGTGTTTTGAAATTTAAGTCTTGTGTTAATTTTTCAAAATAATTTTACACATAATGACTCAATAAAACCATTAGTTACTTTTAAATTTAAGTTGATATAAATCATTTGCATGCAACAATTACATTCTATCCTAGGAAGTACAGAATAATAAACTTTTTCATTCGCAGTACTCAAAGTGATACATACATGCAAGTGATTAAACATAATTTAATGATAGGGCTATCTTTGTAAAATAGTTTGAACTAGTACTCTGAAGAATCTTAGGAGTTAAGTGCTAAGTAACCTACCCTCTTCAACTGAGGCTTGGTCACAGTTAGATCACACAGTTCCATTTAATGAAAGGAAATTTAATTTCAAATCAGGTTTAAATAAGTCTGCTTCACCTTTGTTCTCCTGTAAAACTACAGGCTTGAAAAGAAAATCTCTTACTATGAATGCTCCAAAAATATAAACATGAAAACACAGCAGTTAAGTTTGTTTCCAAGGGCACAGTAAGGTTCCCAAATAATATCCAAACCAACCGCTCTATAGGTAAATGAATATTATAACTGAGGAAGGGTTGTCCCATGGAAGTAAACTTTGGTTCAAGTACTCAAATTACTAGGGCACAGAGGGCGGAAGTCCTGTAGAACAAGGCCTGTATATTTTCTGAAATATCACTATTATGTAATCACAACTTGAAATAGTACATGAAGACCTAATCTAATCAAAGCTTGCCAATGGAAAATAAAACTCGCGTGTTCAAATATTACGTTCTATGGCAGTCATTACAGTGTAACAGAACACTCTTCATGTTTAAATTCTAATACGAGGCCAAAGAATTACTTATTTTTTCTTCCCATTTGAGAGAAATGCATGTAAATTAAAAAAGTACCACCCTTAAGCTGCATAATATAGGGAATAAATCAGAAGCTGACAAGCACTTTTGCGCATTTTGTTGACTGTAACTACCAACTACAATACATGATACAACATGAACCACTAAACATTGTTAGACTTGTGATAAATTAAGATAGTGTACATGCAAAGAAGCTGCATTTACTGGCAAATGAAGATACCAGTCCACTGGCATTTTGTAAACTAAAGAACATCTTTGCGTACAAATTGCCAAAGAACTGCACATACAATCATGTAGATTTCATAAAATCAGGGAGTTAGTGACAGCACGAATGAGGACCATGAATGCAAAATGAGACACAAAACTTGATCCTTTTGTGTCTGCACATAATCCTAACTTCTTAGAAACTGTACAGTATACACTGTACGATAACAAACCTCATTTTTATCTCTCACATCATGAGCCTTTAAGAGCTTAAGAGCTTAAGTCTTCACAACTTATATCTGACTGTTGTATGGAGAAAGGACACTGATTATAGTAAAATGAGCTAGTTAACCTTATTGTTATCATCATGATCTCCTTTGCATCCTCCTGATCTATGAATTTGTTCATCTTTAAAATGCAAAATTCAGCTAAGTCACACCACATGGCCAAGGAGTCATTGTTTAATTAAATTATGCTGCATACATTGTCTAGTGTTTTCCCTTCGCACAACAGTCAGAAGGTAAACCTTGTGTTCATGAGCAGGGAATCTGGCTCTGACAGCCTACAAGCTCTCTTAAATAGAATAAATCCTAAAGTTTTCTTAAAACATCAGATAATTATTCTGACATTGTCTATAAGCAGTTCTTTAATAATCATAATGTGAACATTGATTTCGTAACTGATCCTGTCTTGGTCATAGTATCCTCATGAGCCTTAAAAAAATTAAATCAAATTATAGTATATTCATTTGTGAGAGGCTTTCAAACAGCCTTTTTTTGTTTTCCAAAAAAATACAAAAATAATATAAAATAAAACAAAACAAATAGAAAAAACAAACAAGAGCTAGCTAGTAGCTAGGATTCATTTCTGCCCATCTTTCAAGTCCAGTTATCAAGAATCTCTTCAGGAAGAGGGGGTGGGGGTGAGAGTTGTAAGTAAGAGCTGGCTATCTTTGCAGGGTTATAGTTATAGCATTACTTCAATAATGGTGTTTTGATCAACTGTAAACCATTTCCTTTTGGGCAATATGCAACATCCTTCTCTTGCAAAACTGACTGCAAATCTTGAGAAAATCCAACCTGTTTTGACCCTTTCCAAGCCAAGTTTCTTCCCTCTCACCCTTTGCCCTAAGTGATTATCAGACCTACATACCTTTAAGGCACAAATTGAAGACCATATATAGTTTTCTTACCTGATAACCTATAACTAGCTTGGCAGGAAGACTGAGACGCTCTTTAAATTTACGTCTGATAAAGAAAAGAAACAATGTTTATTGGGACTCCCTCTAAGGAGAAAAAAAAATAAAACAAACCAACAAACAAGCAAACAAAAAAACCAACAGCTATTCACTTGATGCACAAACTCTTTAAAGCTTCTCTGGCAATTAATTACAAACCAAAAAAAGAACACAACAACAAGGTAACCTTTAAACAATCTATGAACATCAAAAAGGGAACCACAGGAAAAAAACTAACAAAACACAACAAAAAAAATTAAAAAAACTTTAATCTGTGATTCCTTTTTCATAGTAACCATTAAATTTAAAAAGTTCCCACTGGAAGAGGAACAATTTTGGTTAGACTACATGTACATGTCTCTGGGCTGTTAAAAAGGCCTAATACATTATATTTTGTGGCTCTTTTACTAGATGGGACAATTAATTCAGCAAAATGATATCAATCACTACAGACTGTAGTTCCATGAGGCTACAGATGAAGAAAGTTACAGACAAGCACAAGAGTGCTCTATCAAAGACATAATAATATATTTCATCACCACAATGAGGGAATAAAATATCTAAATTCTAAAAATAGCAAGGGTTATTGATGAAACACACATAAGCATGTAACTAATACACCTACCCTATACTTAAGTTGGCATCTTGATCTGACGCATTGCCAGTCCATATGGCCAGTTTATCTCCCTTTTGACGAATTTGAACTACAGCTCCACATACATTCTCAGAGTATTCACCAAAAGACTCTCCAATGAGAAGCATTAACTGTGAGAAAAAAAAAAAAAAAAAAAAGGAAAATGGAAGTCAACCTTAAAGTTGTCAAATACATGTACAATATACCTGTGAGAATCTTAAATTCTCAACCAAATCTAGAGATTATTTGTTATTATCAACATGCAGTTATTAGGTAGAAATGAAACCTAATACAATTTAGAGTGTGTTGGTTTCATGGCATTAGGCACCTTTCTTATGCTTGAGATTTTAACACACAGCCAAGTTAAGAAGGTGGGTTTCTATTGTTCCATTCCCCATTCCTTTAGTTGGGTGTGTCCCTACTTAAGTGCAGAGGTTATTGAACCTCTGTCCTATTCCAGTCTGGCTTTTATCTGTATCATTAATCCATTGAAAGACCCACCTTATGCCTGATAACTATATATATATATATATATATATATCCTTGAACTCTATTTCACATGACATGGAAACATCCATAGACAGTTCCTTGGAGAGGATAAATAACACTAAAAAACAAACCATCATTCAACCAAATATATCAAATACTTCATTCAGTCCTTACTGTTTCAAGCCATAATCTGTCCAGCTCCTGTTGCCTAAAATTTTTCTGTGTGTTTACAAGCCAGCGTCCTCCTTTCTTGTTTCTCTCATCTTCCCACATAGGCTCAATTCCTTCCTAAGGGGGGAAGGGAGAGTGGAGAAATTTGATGAGCTAAACCTTTCATGCAGAGTAATTCTGCAGAAATTCAGATCCTGAAAGAAGGGTGAACAAACACCTTGTATGGTATCATTTTACATCTGTATTTGTGACAACCTTAGATGGTTGACAGGGATTGAAGTTTTATTACTGTAACCACAAATTACTGATTTGGCTATATCCCTATCCCAGCTATCGGCCAAGACCCCAAACTTTAAACTTGTTAAATCAACCTATCCAATGCGAATGAAGAGACAAAATAGTCTGTCATAATCTGTGACCTGTTACAGGTTATTTTTAATTTCACCTTTCATTTATTGTAATCATTTCCTGATTTTAGGTCACCAAATGTTTACTTTGAAAATATGTCGAGCTTGAAGCAATTTAAATGTAAGGACATATTTGATCATGTAAATTGAACAACTTGAGTGAATAGAGAATGAATAAACAGACCAACAAATGAATGAGAAAGTAGCACATAAACAAAACTAAAAAAGATATTCATGAATAAATCAATAATCAACCAAAAGAAATGATACTGTAGACCAACCAGAGGAATAGACATGCAACACCCAAATTGTATACCTTAAACAATGAATAATCACATCCAGACTGTAATTTGCTAGCAGCTTGAATATGGTTATATACCCTGGTGAAGAAAATCAGGAAAGTTTTTAAAAAATGGCAAAAGAAAATTTTCAGTAGTAAATGACAATATCGTATCTCTCTGCTGTATGTGTGCTATGATTAGTCAATTTAGAGGTTGAATTTCGTTGTGCAGCCTGCTAAATTTAAAAGACTGCTTGAATTGAAATCCTCCCATCTATTTGAACCCAGAGATAAAATAATGATGTTATTAACCTTGTATTCTTGGTTCATACTGTAAGTTACCAAACTTTGTTGTTTCCCATTTATAGCCTGTGCACCCATAAATTCAAGCCGAAAAAAAGAAACCTTAGTCTGTAATGTACAATACAGACCTCAAACAGTGTTTGTCTGCAATTTATATTTTGCAAAAACCATTTAATTGTGCCCACACTGGTCCATCCAAAATGGCAGATGGCTTCCCAAAGCAAACCTTAACTGTTAGTGAGTGATTATCGAAAAATTATTGCAGAAAATAAACTTGATGATCCAATTGACCTGGGAAATTGCAAAGCAAGGCAATTTTTCAAGATGAGCAGATCACTTAATTGCTATGGCCTGATCCTAACTGATGAATCATACCATGACACAAAGGGGGTAAGTTTCCAAAGAAACTGTGGTGCTGCGTTGGTGGGAGAGAATTGCTCTGATGAAGGGCTAACACTCAAAACATCAACCTTTAAACTCTTTATGGTGGCCAATTTACGTATTCAACTCAGTTGTTAAGAGCAAATTACCCTATGATGCACACAATTTATTTATATGTGTAATGTGTGTACCATTGAAAAAAGCATATGGTTTAGTTCTAGGGCTGTTTTCACAACCAGTTTCAGAGAGATAAATGTCAAGTTCTGAAATGTCTTTAAAAGATGTCTAAAATTGTAAAGTGAACAAACTAAACACCAACTTACCCCCAAAAATCCTCGACCTTTTTGATAGTCAATAAAGGAACAAGTCAAGGGAAACAGTTTATAAGACAAATTAATAAGATATTCCTCTAATGAACACACAGGAAAATGATGGTTTGTTGAAAAATGTACAATGCACCTGCACAGTACACATAAAAGCAACTGATTGGTTTAGTTACTTTTTGTTTTTGCACATTATACTGTTTGTAATACACTGTACATAAGTGGTCACCACTTAACATGAAAACATTGAAGGATATTTTGTCCTTGGAACTTTCCCAAGAAGTGGGATAGTTCCAAATTAATTTTTTCTCCAAGTGTGCCATCTTGATGCAGTGCACCAGATGCAATGCACCAGATGAAGGGCACCAGACAAATCCCCAAAGGGCAGCCAGCCTTCAAAAGGCCTAAACAATATAGATAAGTTGATTTTTAAAGAACTCTCTGTTTGTCTTTGTGGAAGTTATCTTTTCATAAGTCTCTGAAAAAAATTGACACGATCTCTCGTGCGAAATGAATTACAGTTTGAGACAATCGTTTAAACCAGACACAAGTTTTCAAAATTGAAGAATATAACTAAAATATTCCACTCCAAGATGAAGAAAACAAGATATCGTGGATAACAATAACTGAAATTTTCTAAATAATAATAAGAATGATGATAATAATAATACATTAATAATAATAATAATAATAATAATAATAAGATGAAACCCATGAAAGAAATGGAAAAAACAAAGCATTGCATGGCCAGTATCCCAGGATTCTAGAGAAGCCTCATGTAGACACAGTCACCACCAACAAATGGTTTTCAAGTAATCTGAAGGGAGACACAGAAGGACTACTTGTTGCAGCTCAAGACCAGGCAATAAACACCAGAAACTACCAGAAAGTTATTCTGTGGCCAGCAAGTTGAGAGCAAATGCAGAATGTGTTTGCAATATGAAGAGACAGTGGACCATACTATATTTGGATGTGAGGTATTACCTAAAACAGAGTACATCTCTAGGCACAATAATGCTGCTGCATATCTCCATTGAAGCATCTGTAAAGATCATGATGTCGAAATTACAAACAAATGGTACCAACATGAGCCAGAGACTGTTATGCACAATAAAGACAACAACATCACCATCATATGAACATACTGGTCAATACTGACAGAACTATAACAGCAAAAAGACCAGACATCATAGTTAAAGATTCAGTGAATTTCACCTCCAAACTGCTTGATATGACTGTTGCATCGTTCTCAAGGAAATGGAGAAGAAAAGCAAGAACAAAGACCTATAGAATTGAAATACAGAGAATGTGGCAATTATGAAAACCATAGTGACCCCTGTGGTTGTTGGTGTGCTTGGTACAGTAAAGAAGGGGATGGCGGAAAACAAAAAGAAAGTATCAGAAGCAGCTACTGTGAGAGATTTAAAAGATCTGCATGCTGGGATCTGTGTAAATCCTCAGAAATGTGCTTAGTGTACAAACAAAATGACTGACTTAAGTGACTAATGCCCTAGGTGCATGGTTTGCGCCTGGCTGATGCACAAAAAGAACACCAGCAAAGACTGTGATAGAAGAGATAACAATAATAATAATAATAATAATGAAACATAAATCATAATAATAACAAAACCTGTTTCACTTACAGAAAAAATAAGAGACAGCTGCATGCAGTAATGAATCATGTACCTATCATAACAGCAAAACAATGTCAGAAGATTTATGGTAAAGGATACAGTATCAAAAGAAGTTACAAGGCGAAGATTATCTTGCCAGGATTTTGTCTTATCATTTTTGAAAAACCACAAAGCCCATTTATTTTGCAATGGATGTTTTACATATGAAGGCACAGGAGCTGATGCTCCATCTTCTGTTGATTGTCCATCTTTGGCTTTCTCCTGCTTTAAAAAAAAAATCCATTAGAGTATGCAAACTTGCTCACTCAATATTTCCATTGAGAATCTTTGAGTTCGGTTTGGGTACCCAAGCTGTAAGCTTTGCTTGATGCAACAAACTGTTGCATGCAGTAATGAATCATGTACCTATCATAACAGCAAAACAATGTCAGAAGATTTATGGCAAAAAAAATTAGTCTAGATGGCTTTTCCCTCTTCCTTTCTAAGAAATATCATGCCTTTACAAAAAAGTGGACCAACTTATCTCTACAAAAGGGTAATCATCTTTGTACAGGCTCAGTACACAAAACTGCTACCTTTTGTTTACTGAGAATCAGTTACTGCTTAAAACCTACATCAAACTAAGGAAGCATTCCCACTTGCCTATCACTGATCAGGGGAGAACGAAATGTTAGAGAGGAAAAAATTCTGAGTGCTCCCTTAACTTAAATCAAGCTTGTTATTAGAAAACACATAAGGTCTTTTTTTTCATTATTGTTGAGTAAACTTCAGTCAATAACAATATCTCTTTGACTGCTTAACATACACCACTTTCCCCTTCCTATTTCTGTTTCAAGTTTGTTGGGCTAATTGAGATATTCCAGCCATTTAAGAAGTGACTGAGAATATCAACATGATAGAGGAAGGATTAGAAAAGACAATTTGATTTTGACTTAATAATGCCCTTGCCTGAAAGACTGCTTTTCAATCAGCTCGTTTTTTCCATTTCATTTTTGAATAACCCACTTTTCGTTGACATTATCCTCTAAGCCATGCACCGTAAGAGTTTATTGACTTAATATACCTACACGTAGCCTGGCAGCAGATCACACAAGATAAGACACTTTATAACTAATGACCCAGACTCTTTCCTGTGCAAAACAGTTAGGTTGGACAGTAATTTCAAAAACATGAATCATGTAATAACCAAAATCTCTCAAATGACAACGAAAAAAATTGAGACATAACGTACGGTTAATTATGTAACGCGAATTGTATATGGGTTTCAATAGTGTTTGATCCGATATATCACGATTAAAATTACTTTCTCCCAACAAAGGTAGCTGCAATTTCGTAAAGAAGATCTTTATCTGGTTGTTCAGACAATTAAAATAACACGAACTAAACGAATAATGACGCTCACAAATTAGGCTTATCAATAGATCTCGCTGACTTGGGTGAAACATATTTTAAAAGCACCTAGATAGTCGTTGCAAAATATCGAGAAAGCGGTCGAAATTTTATCTGAAGTTGGGAAATAAAATGAGACATCCCAAAAAACTTTTTAAGTTTTAATGCATTACATAGTCAACGTACTATTACTGTCGCAAATAAACGAAATATAGTTTCAAAAATTGACCTGTTTGCGTGAAATGGAGTCGTAGTTCAGTAACTTTTCTTGACGGATAAACCCTAAATTTCGCGGAATAAAACCCCTCTTAATTTACCCCAATAAATTTAGATGGAGTCTTCGACTTCTTACCTCTTCTTTGCTTTGTTCCTTTTGATTTTTAGCTGGTATCTCGTCACCAGAAGCCATACTAACTTTCTCAAAGTGGTTGAAATTTACTCCTGTATTTCCTTTACCGGCGTCACGTGGGAAAGTAAGTTGTACATGCGTACTTTTGTCCTTCGTATCCAGTCTTCCTAAACAAACCGCGGTGGCGCTGGGGCCGTAGTGACAGAACAGAGCGAGACTTCTCGCCTAAATCTCTGATTTGTCGAGGCAAAACTCCCTAATTTCCAGCTCTCCTCTAGCACACTTCGAACACTGCGCAAACCTAGTTTCGATTCCGTGATATATTGTTTAAACCTCCCTATATTTGATGAACAGATGGTTAATTGAGTAAAAGATAAATGAATGAATGAAAGACAGAATGAATGAATGAACGAATTAAAGACGGAATTAATTAATGAATCAATACAATTACGCGAGTATTTGAGCAAACTAACCAAGTTTTAAAAATATTTCTATGACTTTATTATAAAACTCGCCGAAGAAGTTAGTTAGTCGGACAAAAAGCTGAAAGGATTTTGAAAATCAACCTCTTTTCACAACTACAAATTTCCGTTAAGGACGTCAGATACCTCCTGTAGATGTAAATCTGAGAAAAAGGACCTGAACAAAAATAATTTGTTTAAGTATCCAGGCCGATTGTAGGTATAAAACACGCTCTTACTTGGTTAGCTTATTTTGGTCGGCTTTATCGACGATTGAAGGTAAAATTCTTTCATTTCCTACGGTCAACCGTAAAACGAAGTCGTAGTTCAGTAACTCTTCTTGACGGATGAACCCTCATAGTTCGCGGAATAAAACCCCTCTTAATTTACCCCCAATAAATTTAGATGGAGTTTTTGACTTCTCACCCCTTCTTCGCTTTGTTTTTTTGGATATTCAGCCGTATATAAGAGAAGTAAGGGAGGTGGTTGAACGTTTGCTGTGAGAGCAACAAAGGAATGGAACAAACTAAGTGTGGACCTCAAACGGAGTACTGGTGTCACAAACTTTAAGCGTTCCTTTTTAAAGTAATTTTAAATAATCAAATTCTTACGCAATTATTCATGTAAATTTTAAAATATGTATATAACCACATTTTATAATCTTATTTTGCAATGTAAAAAGGCTTAAATACAATACAGAAGCTATACTAACTTTGCGATAAAAATATAAATTTTATGGTTGATTGTTAACCTCATTGAGACCCTCTTGGAACCAGAGATCTAGACACTGTCTTAGCTTTTCTCGCGAGAGCGCGTGCATGAAAATCGACCCTTTTGATGACGCATTTACTAGCAAAGCTTTCCTCGATAGGGAAAAAAATTGCACAATGGAAATCAAAATTCAAAGTGTACTTCCGCTTTTTCTTATCCCTTTGATTGCCTCTTCTACCAGCGTTTGCGAAAAAAAACCCAGCCTTATACAGTGTATCGCTCTGAGAAACCAGTTCATTTTGCCACTCAAGGACAGTTGTAATCCATTGAAGAAAAACTGCGACACAGGAGACTTGGTCGATCCAAGAGTTGCCAACTGCCATTTAGAATTCAGTGGGAACGTGTTTCATTCTTTGCTGGACGGATTTAAAATGAGTTATGGGTACAGATGCTTTCCCATCGTTCCGGACCCTAATATGTTTCACAGGCGGAATGTCGGGCCAAGTTATGGGGAACCCCGCTGTGTTCCCACTAAACTTGATAAACATGGAAGCTTCATTTGCGGGGAACACGGAACACGATGTGTGTGCGATGCTCCTGCAGAATATAACTCATATGGGACACAATGGTTGAGGAACAACTGTAGGTGTGTAACTAAGAAGTAAGAGGAGGGGTTGAGATAGAATTAAAAGGGATGGGGTATAAGGGAATAATTTAAAGTAAATTTTATTGTTTGCTAAGGATGGAAATTTAATGGAGAACTCTTCTGAAACCGAGAGAATGTTTTTAATCACCGTTTGAAGTTCTTTTTTAAGTTTTTGTGGCATACTCTGCTTTCTCTGCTAAATGGGTAAAGTGATATAGCTTATTCGAGGCGGTCACTTGGTGGGAATGAGCAGAAAAGCAGGCGAATGACGAGTGGCGATCGAATGACATAACACTGACTTCCCCTCTCTCAATGATTGCTCGCCAGTTTAGTATGCGCGGTGAGCAGTACAGGAAATGTGAGTTAGTAGACCTCTGACTATCACATTACAGCTATTTGTTAATTAATATTTACTTAAATTCTTCTCTTCCTAACTTCCAGGTGTCAGTATTTTGTGAATCTTTGCCGTATTCCTAAAGTCTGCGCGAGTCGTGGGATTTGCAAAATGTGGGGATCCGAACTGCGCTGTGAATGCCCTGCTGACAAAGAGCAATGCAGGCCCGGAATAAACCAGTGTAAAGCTAATCCGGGACTTTGCTTGGACGAGGGCAAGATTTGCATCGAACTCTATGATACAAACGTAGGCTGGCTGATTGGAAATGAACAGAAAGGCGATGGCTTTGCCTGCATTTTAGCGGGGACTGTAAAGTCTCTAGTGACCGTCACACATTACTGCGATATCTCCCAAGAAACATTCAGTAGAATCGGAGGAGTAGAGCCTAAGAATGAGTTAGACTTGTGCTGCTATCGAATGCTGACATGCGCGGGTGGAGAAAGCATTCCAAAGAAAGGAACCATTTTCAGCTACAGACCGTGTTACTGCAACGTAGAATTCCGAAAGTGCCTCTTCACGGCCGCCTTTGATCCCAAGTTTAAGGGAAACGTCGAGCAGATGGTTGAAGTATTAAACAACTTGGCGCATTGCATCATTGACGACGGCGTCCAGTGTGATCCTGTGCGTCCCTGGACTTGCCAGAAAGGTGACCTTATCAATCCTAAATTTGCACATTGTGCTATTGACTGTAGAACAGGCCCAGTACTGCCAATCTGGGCTCGAGCCTGTGCCCTTCGACAATGCAAGCCACCTTACCATCGCGAAAATCTTAGGATTATAGACGTACCACGCATGGAGGAAAGCTCAATTTGTAAGCCTGTAGAGGACCTGCCAATATTGTGCGGAAATAGAGAAACGAACACCAGATGTGTTTGCGACGGTAAGCCGAGCAGATCAGATTTCACCGACAGATGCCGATGCCAGTATTGGCCGGACCGATGGGAAGAAAGACAGTCTAAAGAAAAGTAAAATTATTAGCGATATCTTGTTTACGTTGCTCTAAATAAATTTATTAGAAATTTTAGTTTTGTCGGAAGATATTTCTGTAAACGTTTTTGAATGCCGTAATTGAGGGAGAAAGTGAGGAGCGCCATCAAGCGTGTGAAGATTTAACACGTGATATTCAAATGTGTGAAATACTTCATGAAAAAGGACTAAATAAAAGAAGAAAAAGATTTATTAATTATTCCCAAAAAATTTCGCATATAATAATGGTTCAAATTCCTCACGCAATCAAAAAAGGGACAGTTCGCTGTTCCTCACTAACCGTTTTTCCAGTAATATCTTTCCAGAGTTGTTCGGCTGTTTAAACTCGCACTTTGCTTGTCTATTCTAACTATTCTGACAAATATCTATATGATCAAAATTAGCTTTTGACCTAAGTTATACCTAGGGTTAAGACTAAGTTCTTTTTACCAGGTTGGACAGCTGTTTTCTGGAACAAGAAATCTATATCCATTAATCGATAGAGATTTAACGAGATCTTGAAATATACATTATTCCAAATGGATTCTAAACACTAAGGATTCGCATGATTCTAGGAAACCGCCAAGTCCTAAGGATTGCATAAATCTTTAGCAAGAGCGAATTTTTCTTGACTTAACGTTATATAAAGGAATTAATTATTCACGGACTAGAAAATCATCTCATGCACTCTACACGTCTGATCGCTATCGTTATTAATTTGGTGGGAAATATACGCGTAATTTCGTACCCAAACCTTTTACGGCCTACATTTCTGTACAGTTACACGAGGGATCTGAGAACGAGCTTAGGATACGCCATAACGAGAGTTGACCGTACTCCTTACGTTGATTACTCCATGAAGATCGATGCTTATGCTTAGATATGCAAAACTTTATCACCTACAGATTACAGATCACTACATGATCAGACAGTCTCAAATTACATTTGTTTTCCCACACAGACAATATATTTTCTTACACATTCGTATACGATCACCGAACCAGTAATTGAGGGCAGACGTCAGTCTCCACTTTTACAGCTGTCGCGAGTGATAAAACTCTGGCACAAACAGGGGCGTGGTAGCCATCATTTTCAGGCCCTTCTCCATGGTCAACGTACCGATACCTCACTGCTAAATACAGGAAAACTGCCAAGTTTATTAACATAAGCCCAGCCAATAAAAACATGTAGTATTCAAGTTTGCCTTCATTGAGGTCATCCGGATACCACTTGTTGTGAGAAGCGTGTTTGAAGATTGACACCAGCAAACTCGCTACGTAGTAACCCAGGCCAATCATTGCCCAGCACACGCCCATTACCAGGCCACGCAACTCTGTTGGAGACTGGGCATAGGCAAATTCAAGACCTACAAAATGTGACGTTCTATAAGTGTAAGGCTTTAGTGTAAGTCGTTCCCTGTAACATCTCCAAGTAGGAACTTAAAAAAAATTCATGGGAACTAGCTTTGTAGAAATTGGAATGGAATCTTAGGTCTAATCGACATAGTCGGTCCATCTTTTGTTCTTATGAATTGAAAATCTGTTGCGAATAAATTAAAGTAGTATCGTTTGTCTCGCGAACCAGTCACCTCTGACGTTGATCACGACGTTTCGAATGCTTATTTCCTGTATTCTTCGAGGAATGAGATAAAGCTGGATAGATGTAACAAACTTAAAACTTATTCAAAACCTAAACCAGCCAAGTTGGAGAAGTTCTGATAAAGTGTCTTCAAATCAAGTTACTTTTTCAGGAGCCTCAACTAGTTTTCCGCTTACTTTGATATTTCAAATTGATTTTTTGTATATTGGTGTCACTTACACAAAACTGAAAACTCCAATTGCAATCCCCGGAAAATAATAAATGTAGTCCACCTCAATTATTTGTCATCTTTGCTTGCCTTGGTTCTACGTACTAATTAGGCTCGATATAGTTGGTGATATTTTTTGTTTTCTCGTGATATCACAGAAGTTAACGCGGATACCATACTCCAAAGGGTAATGTAACAAGTCGATCTCAAACCCTCGACGATGACTAGCAGTATGCAGTAGAAAAGATGCAATCCACATCGAGATAGGAACGAATGTATTAAATTATAATTATTATGATTAATGATGTTTAGATGAAAAAAAAAATCAAGCGCCACTCAATTAATTTTGCACACACCTGTAGTGGATACCAAAGCTTCACTTGTTCCTTGTAGGATATACTGTGGCACTTGATAAAACACACTCATATTTGATGCATTTACAGTTCTATTGAAAACAATTTGTGTCACCCTTCCAAATTTTTCTTTCCGCTCAATTTCGATAAATCCTGCCAAGGCCACAGAACCAGCAGCAAAAATCAATCCAACGCCGATTCTGCGTAGAGGAGTGAAATTGAAGCCAACGCGACGGAGGCCTGGGTAGACAACTCGATCAATAAGGGGGATCAAAACTAGAACAGTCACAATTTCAAATATGGCCAGTGACGCCACGGGAAATGGAAACGTATTAACGATATCCAACTTCATGTAAGAGCCTTGCAATAGAAACGTGGTATAACCCTACGAGAAAATGGAAAATATAAATCTGAGCGAACAAAATCGGATTAAGCAGTTTCAGTATATTGATAGAAAAGAAACCGCTTAAAAGTGCAAGAAATACCTATTTTAATTTTCGAAGAAGACATGACTTTAAATTTAGTTTGAACATAATTTTTTTCCAGGCTCCTTTAATTTTCAGCACCTGAAGCAATAACAAATTTAACGCGTATGTGACGCTGGGTCTAGGAAACGGTCGAAACCTGGTGGGCCATAATCCCTTACTTCTCCGCCCCCCTTCTCCCCCACCCCCTCCTCCCTTGAGCATTAGGGTAGACTAAGAAGGGTTCCAATTCAAAAGGACAAGTCGAATACGGCTTTCATGACCGTTCTCACGTACCTGGCCGTATATTGTCCAGTAGAGGATAAATGTGAGTAATATTGGAAACAAATGAACCATGGACTTGACAACTTCTACCATCTCTTCAGAGAAGGCACCACCCATGGTGTCCTTAGCACCGTCGAGCCAGTGAGTCCAGTGTGGATTTCTTTTGCAGAAGAGCTTGTTTTTGATACCAACTGCAAGAATATGTCGAGCATCCATTAGAGCGCTTTTTCGTGGGGGATACACTAGATAACGGTTTCTCCCTATCACCACTACCATAGTTCCACACGTTATTGAAACTACAGTAATTAAGTAACCATAGAAATAGTTCACGTTTTGTTGGACGTATACTACAACTGTGAAGGCCAGCAACGAGCCAACCTGTATGAACCAGTAAAACCAAACAAAAAATCTTTGCACCATCTTTTGCCCTTTCCTCTTCACTTGGTCTGCTCCCATCAGGGACAAATTTGCCTTGACTCCTCCTACTGCAAAGGCAATAACGACAAGGGACACAACCAAAAGTAACTTTTCATATAAGCCTTGAATAAGAACATGATGCCTTGAAGGTTTTTTGTAGGTAATAACCGTAAGTGTAACGGTGCCGACAATGTAAGCCAACAAGCTTCCATATATGGTGTTGTATCGCCCAGCGGTTGTGTCTCCTAGCCAACCGCCGATTATAGGAGTAAAGAAACATGTTCCTTTATAGAAAAAAAAAAAAAAGAAAGAGTCATTCGTGTTACGTATGACGAAATAAGACTGGTTGAATTCAATAAACATCTTGTAGAACAAAGTCAGAACCTCTTCCTGCAATCCTATGATTGCAGCTCACTTATGAGGGTTATTTATTTATTTGCATATCTTCTGCAGGCCAAAAACAAGATTTATTTCATTTGATTTTGATAGAACCGGTACGAATAGATGACGAACACAATTAGACCAAATATATAATACTGGATAGAAAACTTGGTAGAAAAACTGGATAGAAAAACTGGATAGAAAAACTGGATAGAAAAACTGGATAGAAAAACTGGATAGAAAAACTGGATAGAAAAACTGGATAGAAAAACTGGATAGAAAAACTGGATAGAAAAAGTTAAAACTTATTCAGAAACCTAAACCAGCCAGGTTGGAGAGTTTCTAATAAATTTCCTTTAAATCCTGTTTTTTGTTTTGTTTTGTTTTTTTTCACGAGTCTCGACTAGTTTTCTTATTACTTTGATATTTGGTGTCACTTCAATTACAATTCCCGGAAAACAATAAATGTATTCCATCTATTCCTATAACTAATAGTTGGAAATATTTTTCTCTTCTCATGATATTATCGGTTAACGTTGTCCGTATCTCTAGTGACATTAATAGCATTTATGGCCACTCTCTTGGTATCCTTAAAGAGTGGAATAGCTGCAGGCCATAGAATGTTCCATACCAAGCTCAGAACATAAACAGTGTTCATACCTTGAAATGCCAAGGCGATTATGCTGGATAATGGCGAGGAAAGCTTAAGAACGTCCTCACAGTAGAGTACCAGATTTGCAGCCACCCCATAGAATGCCAGACGTTCAAATAAGGTAACGAATAAAATACAAAGAACTGTAAGAGTATTGTTGTTGGAGACTGGTTCCTCAGACAGTGATTCATCCAATTCTGACGGGTTTTCCTGGCTATAATCGTAGTTTGTCGAAATCCCGTCATCATCATCATCTCGGAGAGATTCCATCATCAGGCACTTCTCTAAGTAAATAGTTTTACGTATGGACTTAGCTACTGATGTAGGAACACAGCTGACTGTTATGTTCTTTCTCACTGTCTTAAAGAATGAAAGTGGCATAAGACACTTAGCAATGCCTATGTTTGGGAGTCCTGATGCTTCTGAGGTGTTAGTTGATGGCATTAAGTACTAGCGATCACTAGCATCAACGCAGTGCACTTATGAACACTTTTATGTAAAACCATTTGAAAATATTACGCTGAATCAGAATTCTCTCTTAATATTTCTTTAACTGTACATTGATAAAGTCAGGTCATGATTACAGCCAAGTAACTTTATAGAATCTGCGTCAACACACTCATAAGCCTTTTGGCACTCAGATAAAAATAACGGGTCACACAAGGGCTCACACTAGGTATTCATATTGTTACATATTTATGCATGACCTTTTAGATATCACTGAATGAGTACCTCATGCGACAAGCGACAAACTGTAGAAAACTTAAGATAAAGATATTAAGAACCTAGTGATAAGTGTCAATAGGCTACGGAAGAAAGTAAATTTTTAGCCCGGTTATGAGATAAAAGAAATATTTATCTTGCCACAAGCGCGGATTCATTTCTGAGACATTTTTAAGTGTCTGTTTACCTACTCCTTTGACCATTGGCTTAATATAAAACGAAGAAGACTGTCATATAATCCTCTGAAAGATAAAGCTAGCTGTCGAAACTGAAACCTTGCAAAGGTGGCAAAGAAATGAGCCAGCATCACAACGAGACAGCTTACTTCAAATTTATCGATCGTAAGCTAACGAAACATCACTAGAAACCTGTTCTTCCGTACTTTATAAACAAACGATGTGAGTAGAATTCACGTGGCATGTTTCTCTTTCGCTGGTAACAGAAAGGGCTCCTAAAGAGAATGAACTCTTATCCAGTCGAGGAAACTGGATTTATGCTACGTTTCTTGCAGTTTACGTTTCAGGAATTGCAAAGATTGAAAAACAGAAATGACTTTGGAGTTAAGAAACGACTGCAACAAGCAAATTTTATGCGACTCTCGGCAAAAAGCGGAAGTGAAGTTCTCACACAGCAAGACGTAAAACTACTACACAAGGAATGATTCTTACCTTTTAGGCCGAAAATTATCAGTATAAGACTGCGAAATTATCGTAAATTCACTTGGATGCCACGAAATTAAGTTCCTCGCTGATTGATATGGCAAAATAGGTAGACATTAACACGCAAGATCGCACAGGCACAAGATTAATCATTCATCGCCACGGAACACAGACTGTGACGTGAAGACGTCATCAAGTGCCGGCCAATTCGATGTAACGCCACTAAAGAGAGTGACATGGTTTTTTTGTCGATGAAACCCAGTCGTCACAGTTAAACAATACTTAACTTATCTTTCTTAAAATATTCCCTGCTTTCAGTCGCACCATGTAAGATCTCAACAACTAACACAACACTCGCAAAATAAGACTTGATTAACGATTACGACCGAATTGGATGACACGAAGTCTTAATACCAATGAATCATAAAAATTACAATTTCCGAGAAAAGAGGAAAGTCTCAATTAAGGAGTCTGTACACTGTATCTATGGTGATTAAAACTAAGGTTGCGATTGGTTGATTTAAACTATAACTGTCTATGTGATTGGCGTATTGAAGTGTTCGATAACAAACTGTCCCATAACAACTTGGCCAACGAATTAGTGAAAAATAGGATTTTTTTAAAAACCAATTACAATCGTGATTAACAGGATTAACAAGTGATTAACAATGTAAATAACTAAAAATATTAGGTGCATAGTCAGCGCAACTTCTTGTGGTAAATGTATTTGAGACGATAAAGAAGCTTGATTAAATGAACCAAGACTTAAAATTAATGATATTTCTCGTTCATTAACGGTTATCAAGATCGTTTTGGGAAATATTCGAAAAGCTTGAAGAGCTCTTTTTTCTCTCAACGTGCTCATCATCTTCAGGGTTGTCTTGATCACAAACCACATAGCGATACCTCACTGCTAAGAACAGGAACACAGCCAAGTTAACTAACATAAGCCCAGACAATAGGAACATGTAGTACTCGAGTGTGCCCTTATTGAGGTTATCCGGATACCACTCGCTACGTGAAACGTGTTTGACAATCGACGCCAGCAAGCTCGCTACAAAGTAACCCAGACCAATCATAGCCAAGCACACACCCATTACCACGCCACGCAACTCGGGTGGAGACTGGGAATAGGCAAATTCAAGACCTAGGTAGAAAGAGATATATAAGTTTGTGGTATATTCACCATAGGTTACAAATTTTCATCCCACGAGGCACTATCACCAAGCACAAACTTTCTTAAACGTAAATGTGTCTCAGAATTATCACCTGCTCAGGGGACACCAAACCAGAAAAGGATGGAAGTTAAAAAATATCTACCAGTTAAGCATTAAAAAAAAAGTATTTGAAATTTTAGCTATACCCTCAACAGCTACCGAGTAAGTGGGATCACGAGCCCGACGACTAATCTAAATATGGACTTTAAAGGCATAGCTCTGCTTGCAACATCATGCATATGGAACCTCAACCTTGACTTAAGAAAGAGTTTTGGGCTAGAAACCTTTGTGATATATACTCGAAAGCCCCTCTGAGTAAAAATCCCTTCCTTTTTTTGGCGTCATGCATCGTTGCAATACCACGCGCTCATCAACTAAATTAACTGGAAGGGGAGTGGTAGGAGTATATATTTCCCGATAGTTTCGTCCTCACAAGAGCAGCATTTTGCTATTTACCTGTTACGGACACCAAAGCTTCACTTGCTCCTTGGAGTATATACTGTGGCACTTGATAAAACACACTCATAGTTGATGCATTTATGGTTGTATTGAAAACATTTTGCTGGACCCTTCCATAATCTTTTTTTCGTTCAATTTCGATGATTCCTGCCAAGGCCACAGAACCAGCAGCAAAAATCAATCCAACGCCGATTCTGCGTAGAGGAGTGAAGTTGAAGCCAAAATGACGGAGGCCTGGGTAGACAACTCGATCAATAAATGGAATCAAAACTAACAAAGACGCATTTTCAAATATGGCCAGTGAAGCTGCAGGAAATGAGAACTTATCGGTGATTTTCAATTTCATGTAAGAGCCTTGCAATAGGTACGTGGTAAGGCCCTGAAAGAAAATGAAAAAATTCACACCAACTTAAAATGAGTGACTCTTTGAAATCTTGATAAAACAGAACATTTGAAAAACTGAGATAAAGAAAAAAGGACGATGAAGAATAAGCAAAATACAAACGACCAACCAACCAACAAAAAGAACACAATAAAACAATAATTTCTATGAGTTTCAAAACGGCAGCGATGCTATCTGTGGGTTTTCCACGACCGATCATGAGCGAGCAATTTTTACTCTTTGCAACATGTCTTAAGAGACGAAAAAATGCAATTTTCGGGTTTTCTTGAATCGAAGGAATCTTTTATCGTTACCATTGTCTTAAACAAATATTCACCATGATGTACCCTGAAACGTTTAAGAACTAAATAAAAGTTTATTTTGAATGGCGCATCTTTCTGTCTACCGTGCTAAAGTAAATGGATAAAGTGTTTACTTGCTCGGGATTCTGTCGCATTTTAAATGAATCATTGACTAGTGACTGAGGTGAAACGAAGCTTACGGGTTAGATGGGTACTCTTATAGTCCTCGCGTTTCAAGTGAGGATGCCTCTTGAGGCCTCTTCAGTCACTTATGCAGGCTCTATATTAAAATTGTTGTTCATTTTCTAACCTGGCCGAATATTGTCCAGTAGAAGATAAATGTGAAGAATATTGGAAGCAGACGAACCACTGATTTGACAGCTTCCACCATTTCCTCTGAAAATTCTCCTCCCATAACATCCTTAGCTCCATCGAGCCAGTGAGTTTGAGTAAAATAACTCTTGCAGCGGAGTTTGTTTTTGATACCAACGCCAATAATTCGTAGGGAGTCGGTCAGGTAGCTTCCTTTTGGTGGATGAACTATGTAGTGGTTTCTTCCTAACAACAACAACAAGGTTGCTAAAATCATGGACAAGGCAGTTATTAAGTAGCCGTAGAAAAAAGACACTTCCTGTTGGACATACACAACGGCCGTGAAAGCGATCAGGGATCCAACTTGTATAAACCAGTAAAACCAGTCAAAAAATTTCTGGATCTTTTCTTTTCCTTCGTGTTTGACTTGGTCTGCTCCCAGCGGGGAAACGTTAGCCTTGATTCCTCCAGTTCCTATGGCAATTAAGATGAGCGAGACAGTTAGGAATGCACCCTTACTTGGAATACTCAAAGCATAAGCCCTTGGGTAGTTATAAGAGGTGGCTGTAAGAAGGACGGTGCCGACTATGTAGAGTAAGGAGCTTCCATATATAGCGTTGTATCTCCCAGTTACGGTGTCAGCCAGCCAACCGCCAATGACAGGAGTGAAGAAGCATGTTCCTGGTGGGAAGAAAATAACCTCTGTATAAGTAAATAAGTATGTCTTTCACCAAAATGGCCAGAGAAAAATAACGCTATGTCCTTTTTTGTCTGAAATTCTCTCTGCGTCTCTTAAACTTTTAACACCATTAAGAGCACGTAAGCCATGTCAGAAGAAAGTCGAGGATATGATACGTACCAAGGGTTTCCCAAGGCTTTCAAAGAAGCACAGGTTTTCCCCTGGGAACAAGGGAAAATTATGAGAAGCTCTGCAAACTACTTAGGAATTGTTTGAACCGTAAGGTCGATGACCCGCTGCCGTTCTGGAAAAGGGCCCCACCCCATCCCACAAAGACTGGCAGTGATAGTGGCGAAAATCTAGCTTGGGTAGGCTTGGGAATTCGTTTAACAACACTATAAAAGTTAAGAATTCTAACGAATGAGAATAGATGCATACTTAGAAAGCATGCCTATAATATAAAGCGCGCCTTTCAGGGAAAGCAGCTTTCCCTCTGAATTGCCCAGCAACTTCGAAAGAACGGGAACAGGGGAAGGTCATCTTTCTTGCGAAAGAACTTGCAAGATATGGCTTCAAGGCGTTCATCTTCTTGAATAAGACTTGTAACCATGAGAAATCATTAGGTCTCATTTTTTTTTTTTTGCCTCAAGAGCTACAAGGTTTTGCTTTTAAGAGTAGCACAAAATATAATATGGATGACAAAATTTTACATAGTTTTCTACCACTGTTTTATTTCATTACGCACTCCAATTGGTAGAACAGTGTCACCATCTTCTTATACCGTAGAAGCAAAACTAAAACCTATGTTTACACGCTTTTCAGGGCGTGACAATCGTCCTTGTTTTGACTGGCTTTCTTTCTGTAATTAGGCTTTGTGTTGTTACTTTGGTTTTGGTTCATCGCACTCCATCGAAAAGTGCTCTTTTGTTTTAAGATTCTGAGGAGATATCTTACCTTGAAATGCTAACGCAATTGTGCTTGGGAACGGTGAAGAAAGCTTGAGAACATCTCTACAGTAAAACACTAGATTTGCTGTTAAACCGTAAAATGTTAGACGTTCACAAAGCTCCACAAACAAAATACATAGGACAGAAAGAGAGGTTTTCTGTGAAGACGAACTTTCTCTCTGTCTGCTGGCGGTCTTATCGTGCATTTGTGGCAGTTCATCATTACTCAGGCGAGACGCCATTATCTATGTTACAGAACAAAAGGAAAAAAAACAATTAAACAAACGATGCAAATATGGTTTTAGACATTCACTTAAGAGCTCTCTGTTTCTTCGAGAGGAGAGTGACCCAAAAGTATTTTTTTTTATTGATAAAAAGTTTCATTGGGAAAAAAATAATGATAGTTGCTGTGTCACTTCAGTGATCGAAAGTGATTCTGTTTCGTTTAAGTAATATTATTTCATTTTTCAGATGCCATTTACATATCACATAGCCACCTGTACACATTTATAAGTTGATCAGACATTGATCTCCATCTAAATTTCAAATGATGGTTAATTTAGCCAAACGGTTCAATGCTCAATTACGTTATTATCATTCTATTATCAAATCATTGGTAATCACAAGTTATAACCCCGTGAGAGTAATTAGCTTGTGTTACATTAAGAAAACTAGAAAGACCTAAGTTAAGTGAGTACTTTGCATCCAATCATAATATTCGAGAATATGTGTTGAAAAGGTCTTATGATCTAAGCAGTTCGTAAAATTAAATCAAATAGTTTGCAGGTGACATCGTGTGGAACCTGTGCTGGTCGTAATAACCCCATGATTAAGGTTCGCAACGCACTGCCGAAGCGTCTTTAAGCTTAAGTGATAAACATATCCCTGAAAAGGTAATGCTCTCTTGGGTTTAAAACGAGCTCTTTTGTGACACCAGATTCGGTCACAGTCTTCCTTCTGTCGCACGTTAAGCGCATCGAAACTCGATTTACGCTTCAAGAACAGGAAAACTTGCTTAACTTCAAACCCATGATTCTTAAAGTTACGAAAAGTTGTGTGGAAAGCAAAGTCACAAAGCAACTTTCGTGTGTATTAACTGGTGTTTTCTTTCCTATTTTTATCGCAAAACGGCATGTCGCGACACACCAACCCGAACTACGCAATCATCTCAGTGCGGAACTGTATAGGTGGCCGTCACCGCCAAAAATACAGGCATAATAAATGGTTTGTAATGAACAGAAATGGTCAAATTGTCTCTCGGAGAATGGTTTAACTTATCGTAGAAGATTTATTTAAAATACAAATAGACAAGTCACCTTAGGTGAAATGAAATATTCAAACAAAAAATGGTTTATACAATTCAGAAACTGTGTAGCCACCCTTGTTGAACTGATTCAATAAAAACACGAGTGGCCAAGTGTTAACTGAAATGGTTCAGTGCCGAAATGACAAACGGTTCAGTTAAATGTACTTTGGTTCAGTGACTTGACACAAACGGTTTAAAGTTATCGGTAAATGGTTAATCGTAAGCCGCAATGGTTTAGTATCACATCAAACAACTCACCATAAAGTGAAACGATTTAGCGTGACTCCAAATGGTTAAGCATGACGACAAATGGTTTAGCACAAACTGATATGGTTTAGTGTTACAGCAGTTAGTTTACATCGCAACCGCCAAAATTACTAAAGTGAAATGGACACGTCAAGCTTGAAATGGAACAGTCCATGTGGGGTCTTACGTCACAACCCTCCAGTTCTTAAAAGTTTTTAGGCGCCCTTTAGTCGTAGTTCCGTCGTCTTAAAACTATGAATCGCTTTACGTCACGTTTCCTAGCTATGATTATGACTGTCTAGACTGTAAATGTGCTGTCGCATAAAATGATGCATTTAATGTGTATTTTTGTCGTTCCTTTTGTTTTCAGATTCTTATTTTATCTTGAGGACGTAAAATGGAGAATTCTTACCATGGTTACGCGTAACCATGATAAGAATTCTCTATTTAAAGTACAGCAGTTTTCACCATAAACTACACATAACCATATAGTTTTTAATCATGTAGTAAAAATATATTATTGCGAAATGTAAGCTTAAGCTTTCTTTCATTTTCACTTGCTGATTATTCAGCTACTGAACGTTCAGCAACGGTTTCATCCGAAATATCATTTACTTACTGATATGATAAGATGATGAGGGTATAAATTTATTAGCTAACAAGCTAAAATAAGCAAACATAAAAAAATGATTATTGTCGGAATAATGCTCGCTGAGTCTAGTAGACGAGGCTACAGAAATAATTTCTTCCTGTGTTGAACGTCGAGTGGACGGCGTGGCGAGTACCTTGCTCTGGGGAATTTCTCGCCAAATTCGATCTGAATGACGTAAGGGTTACGGCGTAAACCAACTGCTGCAACACTCAACCATTTCGGTTTGTGGTAAACCATTTGCCGTCACGCTAAACCGTTTGTCGTCACGCTAACCATTTGTCGTCACGCTAAACCATTTGGGGTCACCCTAAATCCTTTTACTTTATATCGTTGCGGGTTACGATTAACCATTTTCCGATGACTTAAGCCATTTAATTGTCTCAATTGATAAAAGCATAAGATGTAGAAAGAGCTGATATGTCCTTTATATTTGCCTTTCTGTTAACATTTTGTTCATGTGACTATTAAATGTTCTACCAGAACGAAACAGAAACTTACTGTCTTTGTTATTCTATTTACCAACCGACATTATTCATAGGCGAGATTTGGAATCTGACCTGAGTCTGATTGATCTCTCGATTTTGATCAAATCTTCATTTATCATCACATGTCAGATCAATCTGAACAATGAATAGCGCTAAAGGCCAAAACTTTAACGATGTTATGGGAAACTAGTCAGCCGAAACACAGACAAAACCATGGAAGAAACGAAACAGAAGAACAGAATATTCTGTGGATGAATGAGTCATAGAAGTCAACGTGAATGTTTCACAGGAAGTTAAGAACTGCAAGATCGGCCAAGGCTCTCTCGCGGCAGAAGAGCGTTGCGTCAAATGTCATGCAGGTTTAAGCAAAATACACTGTATTGGAATTCATACCTGGAAGACGATATACCAAGGCTAAAGGGTTGTGATTTTAGAAACCGTCATCGATTACTTACAGCTTTGGCTATTTCGATTGAACCTGTGAGCTGATCATGTGACTTGTAGTGACGCAGTGTTGAGTTCCGTTTGAGCGATATTGGCATGTCAGGCGGAAATGTGTCTCACGCACGATGCGTGACCTCTCTTCAATTCTTATAAAGGAGACAGCAAGTACTGTGCATCTCTTCCAAAAAAGCTTCATAATGATCGGTTCACCCTTGTATAATTTTTGTAAAACGGGAGTCGAATCTTCTTTTGCAAGTAAAAAAAAAAATTTTGGAGACCTTTTGTATTTTAGATAAAAACAAAAACATTCGTGTAAAAACCTTAACTTTGAAAACTATCTCCTTTGGTGAGATTTGCGAAGGGGAAGACAATGTGTTCTTTAATCACCTGTTTATCAAAATTCTTTATTAATTTTATGAACGCAAAATGAAGTGATTTAACGCATAAAAATATGCGAAAATCTTTTAAAGTGCGTTCGCGATTAGTTTTTATGATGTTTTTTCATGAACCCAAGGTACCCAACGAGTGCCTTGTACGTAGTTTGTTTTGTTTTATTTTACTCTATAATTCATGGTTTTTATGATGTTCTTTCAGCAGGAGACTAAACGCTGAGCATAAACAGTCGCGCGGACATAAACAATACAGAAATATGAATAAAGACAAATTTTCAAAGAACCCCCTTCCTTAAAAAAAGGAGATATATCATACAAAAATTTTTACTCTGAAAAGTACAATTTAGGGAAGAAACTGCAGCTATCAACAATTTCGATAAGCTATCGGAAAGCACCGGTGAAGTGACCAAAAACGTAGGCTTGATCTTCCAAAACGCGCTTTCGGTAAACTTTGACCCTTATAGTTTGAGTGCTTAGCGGTTATATAAGGTATTACCTCTCTGTAAAAAAAAAAAAAAAAAAAAAAAAAAAAGATCTGGATTGATCATGTTTTTCGTGAATACGTCGTTTACAGTTTGTTCGAAAGTCTCCAATTTTCCTTTCCCTTGTTTTTTCATTACGTTTACAGATTTTTATGAAGGTTTCAATTTTCTTTTGCTTGTTATGCGAAAAGGCGCTTTTCCTTTACAATGTTTTGCGCGAGAAATTGATTCGACACAAGCCAGAAATATTTTCCTTGCGCATGCCTGACATTTGACCGCTGTGTGGATGAAAGCCGCGGTATAAAAAGCAAAGTTCAGCTTGATCTAACTGGAGTTTTGTTAATCCAATTTGAGCGTCTTTTTTTCGCCGTCAAAACACACCTATATACATGTAGTTCTCTAGCTATGAGAGACAATAACCAATAACTCAGCAGTGAACAACTGAAAAATACTTTTGGCGACTGGAATCGCTTCCTGTTTTGAGGAAATCTAAAAATAAACGAAATCAGGGCCATGGCATCTGTTTTCCTTTAAAGGATATTATTTTCTTCAGACGATATCAATCGCTTTCGGAAAATATTTGGTTTTATTTTCTAAAAACACTTGATCAACCATAGTCCTAAGCTATTGTAAATAACCCAGTACCTGTTACGTCGAGCAGGTTCTTTTACCATCTTGTGTTTTTATCAAGCTTCCCTGTGTTTTTCTCTTGAAATCCTATTCTCTGTTTATGACATGTTGGTATCCTTTGTTAAAATAATGGGTGGCTCATTACAGGGGATTGATGCGGATCCGAGGGCTGCTCACGGAAACAAAATCCTCTCCCACAGCGTCACATGGCAACCGACTGATTATTTTTAGAGCTAAGATCGTAATCAATTCAATGACAATATGAGATCACGTTTTACTTTAAGACGGAGAAAAGGAATTTTGGAACAGTAGTATGTAATCAGGAACTTTCAGACGGCGTTGTTCGACTTTAGACATCGGGCGCGAAAATTTTGCATACGACTTAAAATTTCGACCAGGAGGCGGAACCCTCAATTCGTTATATTTTTACACACTATTGGCCTCGTAGGTTACCTCAAGCCCGAAAAGCTGTCAAAATGGTGCATACAAAAAGAGCTATGCTAGCTAATTAACCTGCCATATTCAAGCCTGAAGAGAGGAGATATTTTCGTTTCAACGTAGGAATAAGCAAAGATTGCCTACAATTTATTTAAGCCTCTAAAAACATCGTTGAGAGACTCTGCTATCGAGAGATTTCTTAGTAATTTATTCATTTTTTGTTATCTTTTTACAGTTCTTTTTTTTTTTGTACTGATTTCTCGCAAATGAATATTTCTGGGTCCTTGACAGGGTTGATAAGACCCCTGACTAGGCGATAGCTTGTGTTTGAAGGTTTGACGCACGTCAAAACGTTTTACTATTTCATCAGTCGCTGTGTGAGGGAATCGCCAAATGATACCTTGGAATAAAATCTTATCTCATTTATTCCCTGAAATGATCACGGACAACACATTGTGGAAACATAATTACAGTTTGTCGCGCCTGAAAGTCCATGGAGCCTTTTTTAACTTTTGTAAATTAGTTTTGGGTCAAAATGTCGTCTTCTGATCTAATTGAAAATTGTCTGAATTCGTCTGACTACAGGACATTGCATAACTTTAACTTTGGATCTTCGTTCTATATGTTTTTTTCATCATATTTTTCAACTATATGTACCAATACCTCCGTCATGTGTTTCGCTAATGACATTTCCTTTTGTGCATTTTGGTCTTACACAATCTCAAAGCCGAAAAACTTTTAATGATCTCCCGTGTAACAATTCGTCGTGTTTACAAACAACACTTCCTTTACATTACTCATCACATCAGCCCTATATCAATGTTTTTATTTGCAGATCTGCAAAGCGAATCCAGGCAATTTCATTTTACATGCAATTTTCCTAAACCGTTTTAAGTCGAGATTACCCTAACGAAACCTTTATTGCTTCAAAGAGGATTCCGTCGCTGTTTTGGTTTATCGCAGAGATTTCAAACTTGTTAAGCACAATCAAGAATTTTCATCTCTTTTAGAAATTCCAAAGCTTTTCTACGAGTCGAAAATAAATCCAAATTTAAATTTCCCTTCGTAGTGAACTGTTCACGAGTGGGAGAGAGAGGGAGTCATTTGGTGTTCGTGTCTCATTAATTTAGCGCGTTAATTTGTAGCGTTAATTTTCGCAGCGGTTGGGGGAGTTTCAGAATTTACAAAAACTACTAAAGCAATACGGGGGTCCCAAAAAGTTTTCAGCCATAGCGCCATTTCGTAAAACACCTGCTCTCTAATCTAGATAGTTCTGTCTAAATTCATTGATGCCTTTCGATTTTGTTCCGAGAATAACTTGCGGTTTTTGATTACTACTTTCATAAAATCTGTAGATTATTCATTGTTTAGAGGAAGTCATCACATCTCGATGAATCTTTACGCACAACAAGTCGTTACCTTGCATCTTGGTACTATTTCAAACAACGAGACCAAATTGTTTGCAATTTGAGTCAAAGTCGACCATGAGTCAATTTACACCTTTTTGATAATAATGATTCGTGGCCTGTGGGGCGTTAACGCTTGTCTTCAAGTGAGCATTCATAATAAATTCGTGGATTGAAATGAAACCGCTTTATCAAATGTAATATTCACCAATTTTTTTTTTGAGAAGGTAGAAGGCCCTAATGTACTCAGAAAATTGATTGCGATGTCAATAGCTCAACAGGGTACGAAAAGAAGTAGCATATCGTCGGCTCTTGTGCGTTTCAAATGTGTAAAACGATTTAATTTTTAAGCTAAGAATAGCAAATCAGTTTGAACTGATATTTATCAATTCAAAGGGACCGGAAGATGAACAATACACGCAGAAACGCCTCGTAAAGTTGGAACGATTTTCGTTAATCTTTACCAGGTTCTAATGAACTTCGGAAAAGAATCAGTACTCGGCGTTAATTTACGAAAGTGGCTTTAAGACTTGTCCAGCATTGTTTGCTTTCTCAAAACAACGCATGAAGTTCCTTAATAATTAATTACTCACCGAAGTCAGCCAGCATAAAATGCTCATTTATGAAAAGGCGGAGGAGATAGGTTCATTAGCAAACCAAAACATTGTGGTTACCAGCTGAGCTCTGTAGTATTAATTTCATCGCAGCTGCGACCTTGCCGTACAAAAAAACCTGAGCTTTTTTTTATTATTATTTTCATTCGTTCGCCAATGAGCAAATTGCTTGCAATTTCGAGAAAATTTTCAGATTATTGCAAGAACTACATTTTCACCCGCGTAGACCCAAGAGAAAAGGCAATTAGGAGTAAAAAGTGGCCTTGTCATCCTACAATAACCGGTTTTTCATGTTTTGTTACGGGGCTAACCTCGCATATTCTCATTTGACAGGTGGCTTGGATCCGGGGGGAAAGTTGAGAGACAACGCAGAATAAATCTCCGAATTCCTTTAATGTTCGTAAGAGGACAGTTGCGCAAGTTTTGTTTGTCCTAGAGCAGTGGATAACTTTATCATGTAGCATTTTGTCGTTTGCGGAAACCAAAAAAGAAAATAAAAAAAAGAAAAATTAAGTCATATACCTTCTGACTGTGCTTAACAACCTGTTGTTAACCAATCAAGTGCGCCTTTGTAAACAATAACAATAACCTGAAACATATTGATGACACGCGCCGATTGGATACGAAAGAATAAAAAAACTGATTATATTAACACATTACCAACGTTTGAGGATTTATAAACCTGTGCAAGCGCGAGTGGCAACATTTCCGAGATTCCCATTTCAAGGAAACGGCAGATTCCTTTTGGCGTTCATATTCAGGTGCTGCTCCTATCTGCTGATCGAAAAGTTCATAAAAAAAACCGTCGGTATAAATTTGGAATCAAGGGAAGATGCCTAAGTCATTCCTGTTGCGGCGTCATCTGAAACAGGAATGGAACAACAGAGTGGATTATTCCATTGCTGGTAAGTAACTTAGATATTGACTATCCCTCCTAATCCATACTGTTCTGTAATTTAGTTTGATTACTATAGGAAATTTCCGGATAAAATAGGTGAATTCTTATTTCCAGTAGACTTCGGCCAATTTGAGTTGACGAAGGCTCATTTCTGACTTGTGGATTGTGCATATTTTAGGACCTTTGCCACTTGGTCTTTGGCATCGATTGGCTCCAAGAGCAGGCTTTCTGGGCTCATCTCTCCAAGAACAGAGTCCGTCCTCAGAAGAAGCTACGGACGTGAATGGAAATCACACGGAGAAGCATACGAACAATGAAAAATACTTTGAAGAGTGCGATTATACCAGCGAATTGGCGCCAAGTCAAAATCAAAAAGAGAGCAAGGCGAAGATGAGCAAACAAAAAGAAATATCAAGAACGGAGAAGGAGGAATTTATCTGTGCAGCAACGAAAGATAAAACGAGATCGGGAAAAGGTTCCAAAAGGTCTCAACACCGAGGGCTTGAAGAGCCAAGGAGTCTACGAGAAGGTTCTAAAAGATTGTCTTCTTCGTATCAAACGGGTCCTGTCAAGCAACCCTATAAGTGCGATCAGTGCGGTAAAATTTTTAAGACGAAGTATACATTGACGATCCACCTAAAGATGCCATCCCACACTGGCGCCAAGCCGTTTGTGTGCGCCATATGCGGCAAGGGATTTCGATTGTCAAGCACACTTTGCCGTCACAAAATCATTCACACATCTGAGAAGCCCCACAAATGCCACATCTGCGACAAAGCCTTCAATCGGTCATCCACGCTCAAGACTCATATTCGCACTCACAGTGATCTGAAAGAATTCGTGTGTGATATCTGTGGCAAAGGTTTCCATCAAAAAGGCAATCTGCGCAACCATGTTCTTATACACACAGGAGAGAAGCCGTATCGCTGCAATCTCTGCGAAAAAGCCTTTAATAAGCTATCCAATTTGAAGTTCCACATGCACGTTCATACGGATAACGCCCCTTACCGCTGCCGATATTGCAAAATCTGTTTTACACGGCGATGTGATCTCAAACTTCACATCTCAGAGTGCAACCCGCAGCGCTGAAGAAGGAAAAAAAGCAAAAAAATTCCAAATCATTGGCATTAGGTGACAGTTAATCGCCATTAACACGTAAAGCAAATGGATGGTTCGCTGATCAAATATTTATGGCGACGACGCCAGAAATTTAGATGAACTTGCCTTCTTAAAACAGAAGAGTACCAAAAAAACAAAGAAATGGTCCAAGATCTGCCAAAACTGTTTCGCAGATACGAGCCAGTATTTTATGACTTGTGGAATAGCTTGTCAGACAAGAAATAGACATAGAAATTAAATTTCTAAGCAATTTTAATGAGTTTGATTTTAGTTACCACAACGGGCAAGCTAAATGCCACATTACTGAAATAGCATTTTTCTTAATTTCCTTCAAGCCAATTCATCGCTACAAGATATCAATGGGAAACGTAGTAGCAAATGTAGAGCTCAGGATGGCATAAGCGCAAGTCTTTGTATTCTAAAATTTATTTTTTTCGCAGACACGGTATATTTTACACTGAGTGACTAGTAAGGGCATAGACTTAAGAGACAGAAAAAGCCTTGGTCGACACTAGTTAGTTTTGAGGTAATCGTTAAAGAAAAAGGTCACATATTCCTGGAAAGTGGTAGTTATGACACACTTTTTATTCTTTGCGATTTTGTGTCCCTGTATTTCAGATATTTGACTTCTATTTCACACGCAATTGAAAAGAACATGTGAATATCCTTCAAATGCCTTCTTGAGGTAGCAAGTAGACTTATAACTTATTAACAAGTGTCAGTCTTACTCATTAACATAACTAGGCGACCGCAAAGACAGATTTATGCGGCGCTTAAGAAAAGAAAAAAAATTTCAAAGAAAACTGCTTGCAATCTGAATTTCAAAATAATATCAGTGAGAAAATCGTCTTAAATTACCCTCATCTTTAGCCCTTTTTCCAGACTTATATTACTACGAAATGGGAACCACGATGACTCCGAGATTGAACTTTTGTTTTCGTAAACGATCTTCACCTGATGCCAAACAAAACTACAAGAAAATAAATCAGTTCTTGAACACTGAGTACAGGAATCAAAATAAATCACTCTGATGTTTTATGGAGAAATGGTTAGCTCTTCAACAGACACTAAAGAAACGAGGGATAAGATTTTTCCAAGTTTTATCGACCTAGTGGCCCTTTTCTGAATACTATTTTTTATTTCGTGCGTTATCCCTTGGCAGATCATTTACACCTTATCCATGACTTAACAAAAACACCTGAATCCAATTTAACATGGATTTTGGCTCAACGTAGAATGTAACGAATATATTTTCCGCGAAGCCAAATAAAAAAAAAAGGTATTATAGCAGATAATTCAACATGATGCTGAGATCGATTTCTGGTAAATCTTTATAACATAGCAATGTGTTTTCCTTAATTTCTATTTCCCCATGCACGAGCTCTTCAAAACAGTGCAGGTTGTTTGTACAGTATTGTTAAGGCAATCACAAAGGATTTGATTATTAACAATAACACTACACCAAGAGACTTCAGATTGAGCTGTAAGTGGTGAACTCATTTGTTGTAATTAACACGCGTGCCTGTTCAAAAGAAATACTAATTGATGGACGAGCCAGGTGGAACCGGCGCGGGCCGCTTGCTGATTCTTTCAACCTTGCGAGACAAAGCAAGAAGACAACAAGCAGACCGCGAGTAATCAAGTGCTTAAAAATATCAAAACTGAAACTTTCAAAAAGGATGATAAAAATGTATCATGAGGATTTTTTCTTTTACCTGAACTATTGTGCTTCAACTTCTAAAGGAAAAATTTCAAGGGCAAAAAGGTGCCTTAAAAGACGCGTTCGCGTTTTTTTGCGTTTTTCTTGTTTTTTTTTCTTGTTTTTGTTTTTTTTTCGTTTCAAATAAATCATCCATTGCGGAATAAGAAGTGTTACAACAGATGAGAAAATTACTGAAACAAACTCTGTCTTCGAGTATTTCTTACTGAAGCTGCATGTAAAAATTTGAACGATCCAGTCATTCGAACAGGAAGCAAATTAGAAAAAAGTTGCATCCCATTTAAAATTGCATGTGGTCTTTCTTCAGCTTGATTCCTCTTATCAAAAGAAACATGTCGTCGTGTTTTTCGTTTGCGCCCCAGAGAGCGGTGAGAGGCGTTTTGGTATAATAAAGTAAGGAAGAAAAAAGTTATTTTAAAGGTGAACGAGTTCATATTAGAAATGAATATGAGATGAAGCTTCAAGTAGTCAACAGCTTGATAGGAAAAATCGCTTGAAAGTAGACACTCTCAGAAAAAAAAAAAAAAAAAAAAAAAAAAGAAAAAACGAAAGGTTCTGTGTGGGTAATACACAATTTAAGACAGGCCTTGAGGTTTCTGGTAAGGATAAAGATATTCCTTGTTATCTATAAGTAAAAGGCGATTGACACAGTAAACAAGTCTCCCCTAGAACGAGAACGGTTTGACATAGAAAAAAAAACAAACGTTTCAGTTTTCTTTCATCCGGTTCACCTTGATCCTAACAAGAATCTGACTTTTTAAAGAATTTATGTCTTAAGAAAGCAATGCGTAGAAAGTAGCTAGGCTTATGCTTCACTTTCTGCAAACAAGACGGTCTTAAGTGGAATAATAAACATGCCTCAAGGCACGAGATAATTGACTTTATCTACCTCGCTCAAGTGTCTTCAAAATTGATTAAGATTATTTGAAATTAAGAGAAATTGCAAAAAATGGCCTCGGTGCCGTGGAGGTTTAATCTTGATTGGAAAAACTGAAAGCCGTGATTAAAAGTGACAGATTGTAAATCTCGAACCTTGTAACGTCAACTTTAAAATAACAAATAAACAACTCCATGTTTGTCAAATAAGGCGGATACCTAAATTTATGATCACTGAATCCGTCAGTTTTCTTAGTTTGCAAATGTGGATTATATATTACAGTGGAGGAAATAGTTACAAAATACTGCGTCTTTCCTCGTGATTATTTTTCCCAAAACGGATGTCAAACAGTAGGCACAAAGATTCTTTTTTTTGTGGAATATAAATAGCCTTCGGAGACGAACGATTTAAGCGAAGCGAACAAAAGGTTCAGCGATTACTATTTTGGATGCAATCTGAATTATAATCATTACTTCTCGAGAAATAATAATTATAAATGATTCGTGTTAAATTCACTGTCAATCAAATTTGATGAAATAATATCTTTTACGTAAAAAAATTATAAATTAGACCATAAAGAAAAATGAGTAGCTTTATCATTTTTATTGTAATTACAAAATAGAGATGATGATGAAAATTATTGTGATAATGATAATAAATAGTTATCCGCTAGTGCGAAAAAAAGAAACCAAAGCAGGGCTGTTGATCTAGCCGCATTTGATACGATAAAAAACATTGCTTATCCCGGAATGTTCTCTGACATGCAATGTGCGTTATATATAGGCCGACGGTGTGCTCTTATGCTGGTTAACATGTTCTGTTGCATCGTAGTTTTGTTGCAAACCTCTTTTAGCCTGAAGTTCATCCCTGTTTCCTATTTTGGGTTTGTCCTCTACCCCTTCCTTTTTAGGCAGCAGTGTCTGCAGCTGTTGAAGAGCAATACTCCAGTTGGTATCGGCTTTAGAATTATACTTGTAGCGACTGAGAGATTTTCCTCGTTTGTTTTTCCAAGACTTTACCACTCTGTCCTGAAAGCCTTGTACGAGGCTGAAAGTCTTTAAAAAAGGAAAGTAATATTAATTCAACTTCAAATTCTACTATGATCTTGCATTTTTTTAACATTAACTCACAACACCATCGTAGTAAACACTTGAAAAGGTAACAATCTCCCAATTTTTTCTGGCTGTTTTGGGTAGACAAAATGTTATTATTGCCTTTCTCCATTCATCTGTCATTTCCGTAAACGGTTAATATCCCAAACATGAATTAATTGTTCTTGAGATTCTCCAGCATAGATGTGCTTTTTTTCTCTTAAAAAATAAAGAGGATATCGGAAATAAAAAGGATACCGGAAAAAAACAAGGATACCGGAAGTGGAAAAGGAGCCTAGCTTGGAGAGTGTCTTGTCCTTATCACTTTACTACCGCAGTATTCAATGATTTGAGAAACAAGTCTTTTAATTTATCCTTGCCAATTAATGCTACTTAGACTTCCTCGTGGATCATACCCAGAAGTCTTCATGTTTGGTCTTGTTTACCATGTGATTGTATGAGATATGATTTATATTCAGTTCAAGGCTAACTTCGACTGCCTGCATCGAGCGTTTTGGAAAGGATAGCAAACCTCGCCAAAATATGAACAGCAACAACAAAAACAACAAACATTTAACGACAAAAAACGAAACACATAATCCAAAAGCATTACCTATATAAGCTCCGGAAGGCTTATTCATTTCTTATGTAACCCACCTGGCCTTGTTTGTGATCATTGTACGCCGCCCATGTCAATTCAATCAGAAGTATAATCAAGCTGAAAGCCAGGCCAAAGAAGACAGCATAAAATGCACCAGCCATGTCTTTAAATACCAAAACGTCTCCCGTGAAGGACGTGTCTGAAAATATGAACATGACCTTCACTTGCGGCAATGACATCGTAACCTGAACTCTAAATTGAATACTCTGATTGCACGAACTCCAAAGTTCATACATTTGCATACCTGAAGATTCTTGCAAAGTCGTCTCACACACTCCTTGAAGCCACCTTTCCCTCAATAGTTTGAGAAATCCTTTTTGCCTCAATTCCAGGATTTTTACACTGAACTGATGTGTGAAAGGGGAGTTCTTGGGAAGCCCAAAGCCATAGCCGAACTTGCCGAATACTCTGCAGGGAACAGATATAAGAGGCCGGTCTTTATTCTTTATTCATCGCCTGGGGACTGGGGAAAGGGGACGGGCAGGGGGAATACAATTTACCTTATCACCCCATGAGGCTCAGTAGTACTCGAATGGTATCGATCGCCTTCATTTGGCAATTAAGTTTCTCTAATCGTCCCTTTATAATATGTTAACGACGACGACGAGTTATCCTCCCCTCCCCTTCCCCAGCGATTTCAATGATTGATCCCTAGGGATGAGGGTCAGCCATGCGCCAGAAATTTGTTACATTTTCCATAGCTTTCACCTTTTTTTTCTTTCTGTATGGCCAGCAAAAAAGAAAATATTCGATATAGAATAGAGACTTGATTTTGATTGTACACAAATTCATCAAGTTGCAAAACGTAACTTACATAACTTACACCATACCTTCCAATTGTGGTCAACGTGTTGCAGGGCCTTTGTTCTGTGTAATAATCCAATACAGCTGACTCACTTATGAAAGCATATCCACCCTTTCTCGCTCTTCTGATACCCTCGGTCACGTTTTCCACCAAAGTGTCGTGACGTTTCATAAATGCCCACATCTTTGCATAGGTTGGAACGCGTGACATTTGAAAGAATGCCATGGTGTGGCTGTCTTTAGCGCAGCCATACTTGATTTTCGTTTGGGCAGCTAAGTCTTCAAGGCTGTTGATTGGTGTCTCAAAGACATCCGTGACTAGAAAACTGGCCAGATTGGCAGTGTAAGACGCACCTGTGAAAACAAAAATTCATGTGAAATTAGGAGATCCTCGCAGCTAAGAACACTACTGAAACGAGCAGTTGTAAATAGGACCTGAAAAAAATTCAGGCCCGTACGGGATTTGAACCCATGACCTCTGCGATACCGGTGCAGCGCTCTACCAATTGAGCTAACAAGCCAACTGGGAGCTGGTCAATGAATTGGGTACAAATAAACATCCAAGTGAATGAAGATTTTAGATATATGAAAATTTCACATATTTGCACTGCGGTGGAGAGATGAAATTAGGAGATCAAAAAAAAAAAAAATTCAGGCCCGTACGGGATTTGAACCCATGACCTCTGCGATACCGGTGCAGCAGCTGCGAGGATCTCCTAATTTCATCTCTCCACCGCAGTGCAAATATGTGAAATTTTCATATATCTAAAATCTTCATTCACTTGGATGTTTATTTGTACCCAATTCATTGACCAGCTCCCAGTTGGCTTGTTAGCTCAATTGGTAGAGCGCTGCACCGGTATCTCAGAGGTCATGGGTTCAAATCCCGTACGGGCCTGAATTTTTTTCAGGTCCTATTTACAACTACTCGTTTCAGTAGTGTTCTTAGCTGCGAGGATCTCCTAATTTCATCTCTCCACCGCAGTGCAAATATGTGAAATTTTCATATATCTAAAATCTTCATTCACTTGGATGTTTATTTGTACCCAATTCATTGACCAGCTCCCAGTTGGCTTGTTAGCTCAATTGGTAGAGCGCTGCACTGGTATCGCAGAAGTCATGGGTTCAAATCCCGTACGGGCCTGAATTTTTTTCAGGTCCTATTTACAACTACTCGTTTCAGTAGTGTTCTTAGCTGCGAGGATCTCCTAATTTCATCTCTCCACCGCAGTGCAAATATGTGAAATTTTCATATATCTAAAATCTTCAAAAATTCATGTTTTTCTTCTCTTGTAAAGCAAGGATGGAAAGTCAGAAGTCATAGCGACCTTTGGTGATAAAAATTACATGGAAACGTTGACGAACAAACGCTTTTGATGATTTCACCCAAAGAGAATTCTGAGACCCACGGAACACCAAAGGCAAATGCAACTTTGGATGAGCTCAATAAACTAAATGTTGGAGAAAAATGTCAAATTGTTCCTTTTTTAAAAAATAATGTCTAGCACTTAAGTTCATTTCTCAGGCAAAATATATAAGCTGTTCGCTGCGTTATCCCCTTTAGTCGAGCTTCTGGATGTAAGAGTTCTGTACTCTCACAGCACCCCTTTCTATCTAAAATAGAAATATTTCATCAATTGAGCTGTCCGAGGATGCATTGGAGAAGGGACATGGGCGCTTGTTACACTTCGCCAGTATCCGTCTACGAAGAGAAGCAGACCTCCCACTGTAATAAGGTAGCAGAACAAGGAAGATGGCAAATGTTCTGATAAGTATTGTCCTATTTTCGAGCGAGACTCGTAATTGAATTTAAATTTTCTTCTAGCAATGGATGGTATTTCTTACTTATTATCAACATGGCAAACCACCAAAAGGCGATGATAACCCTCCCGGATGTGGACTGTGGATGTGCTACGTCGGCTCCTTGGCCAACTGTGTAAGAAAACGATGACCACGCGGACTCGAACAGCCGAAGACAGTCCTTTGTGCTCCAGTGATCGTCCCTTACGCTGTTTTGGTCTCGTAACTGGGCAATCCTCCCGTGATAACCACGTGGACTGAACGTGGCGTAAAGCCACAAGAAGAAACCAACTAAAATTGTCCCTGCGACAATGGCCAACCAGAGGGATGTGTTAAAAGGTTTCAGAAAAGAGAACATCTTGTAGTCCACGTTGACTTTGCTTTCGATGAGAATTGACAAGCCAAGATGCATGAATGGTTGAGTGAAATCCACGGCTATTTGCCGTTGTGAGCTGACAGATAGAGGGCCAATCGCCAGATCTGCTTTCTGATAAGAGCAAAATCAGCATTATTTTAAATACACTATGGTCAACGGACGTCAGACTTACACTCAGACATGATCATCAACAATTATACCAATAATGATATTCTAATAACTTCTTAGTGATAAGAGAGGTGACTAGCTTTGACGAGAAACCTGAGATCACGATTGGAGGAGGGAGGGGGAAGCTTCTCCCATCTGAGGCGTCCCAAAGCAGCAATAAAGAGAAAACTGCTTACTCTCTCAATTAAATGTTCGATTATCCCATTCCACTTCTGGCTGAAAACATCCCATGAACCGTACTGGTTACTAGGTAAAACCTCTATTCTGTACCGAAACTTCATGTCTTGCTGAAGTCTGTCGAGTAGCTCGATACAAAATCCTGTATAAATTATCTCTCCCGTCTTAGCAACTTTCTCCTCCACGAAAGGTGGTTGCTGAAAATAAATAAATAGAAAATCAAATGCAAAGCTGTACCGGGAAGCTGCTTCATTTAAGATTTGCTTTCCAAAGCATCACGATTGCCGGCTATTAAGGATTATCATCCAACTTGCTTCCCTTTTACTACGTAAATAGACAAAAAGCTACCCATATATGTTGCAAAAACTTTCATTGGGGCATGATCGATAGAATGGCAAAAAACTGTCCTGACAGCGGCTGTGACTTCTTATTCTAATTTTTGCCCGACTCCCATAATTTCAGCCCTAACAGTCAAAATTACTGGACGCTTGTACTAAAATTTGTAACTTACTATCACAGCAACAACTCGAATGCTGATGTTTTCTACGGTGTCTGCCCGATCACTCGGGGCCTCTAGTGATTGAGATAGCCAAAGTACAGGTTTTTCTGGAAACATGACAACTCCTTCCGATGGCGTCCATTTGCCGACCTAGAATAAAAAATCAAATTTATCCAAAAATTGTTTGACGTTTCCACCTCCATCTAACCCCTCGCTGCCAGAATATATTTGGTAGTATATAAATAGTTACACTGACTAATGGCTTACCTTCACGAAACCAGTTCTTCCCAAATTTACAATGTCAAATTCCTGAAAAGTTGGAGAACCGTCCCCAATAAATTCTAAGTCATTCATAATGCCACTGGTACGGACCTGTAAGCAATGTTCTGTGATTTATTAGTAAAACGTTTCGTTAGAGTAATTCTTGTTTTTGAATGAAAATGTCTGTTGTAAAGGTCTATCGTAAAACATGATCTTAAAAAAATTACACGTTTAAGGAAATCTTGTTTTCGCAATGATATAACAATTATAATAATGTTTCTTACATAGATATAATCAATCTATAAATAAATAAAGGGGTACCTTTTTAGAGAAAGGAGGTTGCTATGTCGGTTAAAGGGCTTACAAGATAATTTGGTAAATCAACTGAGTTGGTAAAGTAAATTTGCCACTGTGAGGAGTTTTTAAAGCTGACGTTGCGAGTGTTAGTTCTTCACTATCTAGCTTTGAGCGCGAAAAAAGCTGCGCGTCATTTTCTAAAAATTGACCACCAAACCTCGAGCACACAACATCCTTCGTTGCCTGCAAATTTCTTGATTTTTTTTTAATCGTGTACTCTTTTTTCTAGGTAATTTTGGAAAGGTGTCTCTTCAAGCCTCAATAAAATGAATCCGGGGGTGAAACTGGTTATTCTGGAGTACATTTGCTCAAGGGCTGTTAAGTTACCTCAACCAGGGCTGGCCACGTCTAGAAAACAGATAGTTGCGAATATCCGTGGCAACCCTTCATCTTAATAGTGTTCTCCAGCAGCCTTCCCTTTGATTAGTAATCTTGTCATGTTCCTTTTCAGAACATAAAATGTAGACGCCCCACAGGAAGTCTGAAGGTACCAAAGGATAACCGTTCTTATTTGCTTGCCTTTTTAATGTACTTCATTAAGTTCGCTCCATTTCTCCAAGGTTTAACTGAGCCCTTGCCAAATTCAAATTTCAACTTGTCCCCACTGACGTCATAACCATCTAAAGTCATATAATGAAGTGCAGATGCTAGAGCAAGGACGGCATCATAGCACTTTCCAGTGACAACCTTGAAGGAAAATCAGCAAAAATCATGTTGTGTGTAATATTCCCAATAATATAGAAAGAAAAGCAAGATTTCATGCGTCGGAGAGTATTTCTTAACGACGTATCGACGACAAAAAGTTCGATCTGATTTCTTACTTTAACAAGCCCTGAAATCTGATTATTTGTTTTAATTCACTCCCTAATTAGTAAAGAAACGGATGAGATCTAATGGAAAACAGAAACATTGCTTAGGGCTAATAAGATTTCAAGGTTCGTGTGATGAAAATCATGATTGGTCATTTCTCACATCAAGTTCACCGTATTCATGGCTTTTCCATTCCTGAGCGACCTCCTTGTATCGCGAACCCTCTCCAAATGCTAATCGTGTTCCCATGACTCCATAAAACTGATTTAATACAAAATCGCCACCAAGAGTCTGCCAGTCCTTTGGAACAGAAGTAAAAGAAACAATTATGGAAACAAGGTAAACATATTATAAAAGCCTGAGGGGGCCTGGACGTCTCCGTGCAGGATATGGCATTCTCGTCAAACTCGAGTTTCTGAGATGCTCTTAAGATTACATCTCCCTATTTGGGAGATTTTTTTCTTTCATTTATTTCATTATGTCTCCTGAAAAACGTACGGCAGCCCCTCCGCCAATTAGGTGGTAGACTGGGGATTTCTGTATACTCAGTTGAGTTTATGTTCTGCAAACACTTACGACGGAGAAAGTTATCTTACCCGTCCTGTTTGTGCATCTGTTATGATCCAAGCCCAATCAGTCGTCATCCCTAAGTCACCAGCTTGTTTTAGGATCTGTTTTGAGTTTTCATCACAATATATTTACAATGCTGTTTTATATCAACCTTATCACCACAGACGATAAATTTAATGCCACGTTGTTATTGCATTTGTATTATTGGCGCGGGAACGTCCATGAGGCACCAGTTTCTCTCTGAGCAGGAGTCACTCGTTAGTAACGAGTCATGAGTTTTTTCTGTTTCAAACGAGGTCGAGCTTCTGGCTTTAAAACATAATTTGCCTCGGTTTTAGAAACGTATTGAATCAGCTCTTGTCGCAAGTCCTACGTTTACGGAAGGTTAAGCAGAGGACATTGTGATCCACTGATAATCTTGGTTAAATTAATTTATTACAGTTCATCTATGACGATTTTCACAGTTCTTTACCAACTGTTACATGTAAATGTATAAAGGGGGTAGAGAATTACGAAAGTAAAGGATAACGCAACCAGTCCTCGCTTTGTTGCATTCTTTAACGACACTGGTCTGCATTATTGTGCACAGTGTTTACCTAATAAGTAGTCTGTACAGACTTACTTACCTGTCTTGAGTATCTCAGATAACAATTTAAAACCACTATTCTTGTGCCAGTTTGTCGGATCCATTTTAGTTGCTTTATAACGTCAAGTGAATTAGGATCTGAGACGGGCTCAAAATGCTCATGCGCTAAGACTATCCATCCCCTTTTATATGCCTCGTCCTTCAGGGCTAAGACGCCATTAATACCTGGGAAATGATACGACGACTTTTTGATATTCATTATGAACATAAACGTTACTCTCGTTATCAATGAGCACCAACCTATGCAGAGGGCCGTTGCTGAACCGATGTGTACCACACAAAACACACAGCCTACGTAAGCCAATAGAGAGGAACAAGTGTTTGCGTCTTTTAACCCTTTCACTCCCAACATCTCATTAGTAATTCCCCTTGCTGTCTGTCATGCATTACTTATGATGTTAGTTTGGATAATTTAGCTTTGAATCACCTAGTAATTTTCTAATTAATATTTTCCTTCATTTGTCTTCGGATATTGTCAGGAGAAATTTTGTCTTGGTCTCTCATAGCAGTTCAAGGGTTTTAAAAAGCAAGAGTTATTTGATCAGTAATGGTGCAATACAATCAACAATTTTGGCTGGGTCGAGTTAAGACTTTTATGAATTAAAAGTAACTTTAAAATCAACACACCGTAGTCATCCTTAGAGACAAGTAAAGCGAACTGACTCCAGTTATAATGTTTCATAATTCCTGCCAAAGCTTGGCATTGAATAGTATCACTCGGACTCATTCGCACGAGGTAAGGGAAGTTGGCTGGCGTAGAGGTGAAAGTCGGATCTGTTGCCACTGGAGCGAATTGTGGAATGTGAAAACCAGAAAAATATGGCTGCGTATATTTCACATCTGATGACCTCATAGGACCCACTATGGCCACGACACCTTGTTGGATAAGGTATTGAGCTGGGAATACACAATTATAGCATATATCAGCAAATAGCTGCATCTGCTGTGTTGCATTTTGTTGAGTCAGAGACACGTGAATCTATTACCTAGTTGTTTATATAGAACATAAACAGAAGCATCTAGGAGTAAAAAAAACATGACTGTAAATGTCGCTGGAACGAAATTGCAAAGTGGTGCATCATTTGAAATTTATCTCGTTGTAAAAAATTTAAAAATGGTATAAAGTTAATTTCTAGGATTAAATTGAAGTCTTACCTGCTTTTAAATTATCAAAGGCATCCAGTGGTTTGGTCATGTTAATAGAAGCTTCTAGCTTTATTCCGGGTAGAACGTTGGGATCTCTGTTCACATCCTCAATGGCAACAAGGAAGGATTTAATCAACCTTTCATTCTCAAATATGGCCCCTATGTTAAGTACACAGTTTTGGAGATAATGAGAAAAATGATAACACTGAATGAAGATAGAATTAAGCTGTAGTGTTTTGAAACGAAAGTGCTTGACGGGACAATATTACATCCACGCGTTGGAAAGAAGGAGACATATCGATTTAAACTCGCTGCTGTTCGATAATAATTCCTTTCTATATGCTTTAAAGATTCTGGACTCGGATAGACCGTAAAATATTCAGTGCTTAAGAGAAACGCAACGAGAGTGTGCATCTGACATCATGGTAAACTTACCAACTTTTACAACTCGTGCATTAACAGTGAGAATAGAGGTCAATACAATTGAAATAATTGCAATAAATATCAACGAACACATATTTCTACCCTCCAAGAAAAGAATATGTGCAAATTCTCAGCTTTGATCTTTCGACAATCTTGAAATGACGTACGTGATATTTTTGCAATTTTGACAACAGAAACCGTTTTATTGATGGCTTCCTATTTTTGTCATAATGACCTATGGGACACATACTAGGAGCTTAACAAAGCAAAATAAGAACTTTTATTTTCAGCACAGTGGGAAGTCCTTGAGATTATTTGCAGCAAGAGCTAAATTTGAATTTAATTGATTTACAATGATTTCTTGCTGGGAGTCAAACAGAAGCCGTAATTAAGACATTTCAAAAATGTTTGAATTGTAAAGCGAGCAATGAAATGATAAAATTGGTATGTTATAGACTTTTGTTCTAAATGACGTGAAACAGAAGAATTAATAAAATCAAACGACAGAAACAGATGATTTAATTTTTTTGTTTTTTGTTCTTAGCCCATTGCTTTTGTTCTGTTTGTTTTGTTATTCTTTCGAAACTAAGACCTAATGGAGATCCAGAGCTATTTTAAATGCATTTAATTTTTGAGACTTTACAGACTGTTCATGCTAATTTTTCCCGTCGTTTTATTGGAAAAAAAAAATCTTGAGTGTCAGGCAACAAGTGTACTTGGTGAAATATAATTTTCCAAATATTGAAACGCAAGAAAATCAGAAGTGGTTCTTTACAACGCTTGATCCCACTCCCCCTCCCTGAAAAACGATGGAGTGCCGCTGATACTTCCGATTAAGCTTAGTAAAACCCATTGCGGAAAGGCTTAATCCATTTAAAATTGTCTTACTCGACACAAAGGATCTTATTCTCGTATTGCATTAGTGAATAAGTTTTATTTTTTACAATTTTTTTGTTTGTTTGTTCGCTATTCGCTACAGGGTACTTTCCAGTCAATTGGGATCTCATTTACTTTTTAAAATTAATTTTAAATTATAACACAGTATCCATTATCTTAGTTGTATATTTATGATAATATTCTTTGAAATAGAAGTTCGATTAGCGCACACCAACTTTGCACGATATTATACTAGGAGAGATTAAGCATTGAACAATGTCCAGCCAATTACATGCTATGATGTTCCTGTGATATTTTTTGCATGCTTTCGAATGTTCGAATGTTTGTTTCTTCGTTTGTTTATTATTTTGCGCTTACTTTTATAGCGTTATTATTGCCCAGTCAATGGTGATGACCTTCGAATTATCTCTTTTTGTATGGGATAAAGGATTCTAAGTAAGTACAGAACATGATCTGGTACGCTGCAAACTATGGTGAACCAAGGTTTAATCTGTCTGCGCCCTCGATTGAAAATAAGCTTATCAGAATATCGCCCAACAAGGAAAGTACTCTCTTTTTACAAGCTAAACTAAAGAACTTCTCCTATGGCTTGGCGAGGCGCGGGGTTTTGTTTCTTTTCGTTTCAAGCCATTGAGTTCACCATTTTTCTTCTTTTTAATGTCGTCAATAACAAGTTCATTTATAGAATCCATTCTTGGAGCTGAGTTGGAACAATCTCTTGTCTGAAAACAACGTGAGGCATCTTCCGGGTCAACAGAGGAAGTAATGGTGCGACCTGGTCCTTGATATGCTCGCCAGGAAGCCCATACGCGTCTTTTTAGTGCCTCAACTCGGGCCTAGTAGAGAGAAAATTTTCTTTAGCTCACCCATTCGATTCCATTGGTGATAATAGGAAGAAAATTGATAAGTAAACGTAAAGTTTCAGAGTGACATACACACGGAGTTAGGTTTATTGTAATTTCAGGAAAGTCCGCAACTGATTGATTCGTTCCAGACCTCATTTATGTATATTCAAACCGTTTCAAAATACCTTCTACATACTCAAACAAACTAAAATACACAGACCATCAAACCATTTATCGCAAAAGGTTGATCGTTATACAGAATGGAATTTAATCAAATCGAGTGTCCCCTGTTTTAAATAAAGAATTAAGCACTCCCTTGCCTAGGGAATCTCTGTAATTTAACAAACTCAGTGCTTCAAATGGCTCAAATCTCACGCGCTCAATTAAAGCTCTCAATAGTCAGGTTGTACTTGACGAAAACTCCCTAGCAAGGTTAAACCAGAAAATCAAACTGCTACCTCCTTTTGATTTTGCTTGGTATCCTTATGTGCTTCAACAAAGAGTTCGACCAGTAAGACGAGAAGACTGCAGGCCATGCCAAACAACACACAATAGAATACGCCTGATAGATCTGTGAACGTCAATACATCCCCTGATGTATTTATCGAGGAGGAGGTATCTGTGAGGAAAATTCAAAGGAGATGGAAATGAATTTGTACATATATAACTGACGGGATACTAGAATAATATAATAGAAACTGAAAAACATGAAATCATGAAATATGAATATTACAAGAGGAAATCCGATCCTACGCATTTCTTGTGGGGGGGGAATTGGGTTTAGCGGTTTCGGCAATTTTTTTAAATCGGTTTTTCGGTGCTTGTGCCAACAAACGTCGGTTTTTCGGTTTTGGTGTGCATCGCAGTTTGCGGACTTTCAGTCCGAAGCATTTGGTCTTTGGTATTCGTAAAAAGCAGCAATAGGTTTTCAGATTTGGTATCCGATGTGGCTTTCGGTTTTGTCCTATTTGGTCTGAACGGGAATAAATTTATCGCTTTAGACGGTTTTGCTTGCAGTTTTCGGTTTTGACAGAATTGTTTGCAGTTTTGCAGTTTTAGATGATTGTTTCTACGGTTTTGCGGTTTCTAATAGACCCCAATACCCCTTCCTTGTTGATGTCAATATAAACTTTTGGAAAGAGACTTAGTGCACTCACCTGCGTTTGATTCGTCATTTTGACATGTCCCAACAAGCCATTTGCTTTTCATCGTTTCCATGTATCCCTTCTGTCTGAGTTCCAACACATTGATGCTAAATTGATGTGTGAAAGGGGAGTTTTTCGCCAGGCCAAAGCCATAACCAAACTTTCCAAATACCCTGAGAAGTGATAAAGGGAAGAAATATTGCGCTTGGCTCACGTAATTATAGGCATTATAGGAGAAGGTGGAGAGAAAAGGCAAAGTGTGGATAAGTCAGAGGGCCACGATAAATTGCACCAATCTCCGTGCTAATTAAAACCGTCAATTCTCATGAAGAAGTTGCCAAAGTTCAAATTCAAGGTTAGAAACGCAGACCTCTTAAACCTCAGCACTTTTTGAATACGCAGCAAAGTGTTTGAGAGATACTTTAGATAACTGGAAAATAATACCCTGCATGCAAGCTGCCAATTAACTTTTTCTCTCAAACATTTTACATAATATTATACCTTCCCACCATATAAAGTGTGTTGCACGGTGGCTGATGGACGTGATATTCAAGCACTGCAGAATCAAAGATGAATGCAAAGTTCCCTCCGCGAACTCTTTTGATTCCTTCGGAGGAATTTCTAAGAATAGTTCCACTGGACTTCATGAATTCCCACATTGTGACGTAGGTAGGAATGCTCGATGTCTGGAAGTACGTTTGGGTCTGACCATTTCCGGGAATTCCGTACTCGATCTTTGTTTGGCGAGCTAAGTCCTCCACTGATTGTATTGGAGTTTGAAACCGTTGAACGATTAAGAAAGATGCAAGATTCGCCGTGTATGTAGCCCCTAAAATGGTACGTTCGAAATATAACACTAATTTTTGTCATGAAAAGTCCGGAGGATAATTGATATTCATCTTGTTAAAGGAAGTAATTGAGCATTATCTCACAGCCTAGGGCGTGTGTTCTAATTTGTCCACAGCTGCTTGGTTGGGCAACTCTTTATGAAAATCAGTAAAAGTGTTTGTCTATTTTTTAAACAAAATATTCTGCTTTCGCCCACATGTTAGGCAAATGGTGGGCGACCCTCGCTTCAGGTGCAATTTAGGATTTCTGAACTGTGTTTGACCGACATATCTGTCTCCTAATGAGTATGATGACAATAGAGAACATAAAATGGTAGAAAGACAAGTTCTATTGGCACATCTAACATACCAATTATGAGGACTGCAAACCACCAGACTCCCACTGCCATTCTTCCAGAAAGTGACACAGGATGTAAGACATCTGGGCCTTGACTGACGTAATAAGCGAACGAAGACCAAATCGCGTTGAAAAACCGTAAGTTGTCTTTGGCTTTGATGTCATCTTTAGAAATAGACCTTGTACTTTTGGCCTGTGCTACTCGCCCGTGATACCCATATGGACTAAATGTGCTATGGACCCACAGAAATACACCAACTCCTAAGGTGGTTGATACTATAGCCAACCACAGATTAAAATCAAACGGGCGGAGGAAAGAAAACACTTTATATTCACTATCCTCCTCTTTTCTCATAATGATCGATAGGCCGACGTCCATATAGGGCTGAGTAAAATCTATTACTGTCTGTCTGCTCGAGCTTATTGTGAACGGACCTATGGCGAGGTCAGCTTTCTGAAACAGAACCCAAAGGAAGGACATTGAACTCCAATATTCTATATAGAAGTATGATTTACATTGTTACTCCACTTTTCGTCCGTATTTTTCGCCCTGTTTTATAGTACCATATAGTGCCATCGAATACTCTGCGCGTTCCATTCCCGTGAAATTTTTAGATAATAGTATAAATTTGGCACAAGTTGCAAATGAAATTGTAATATGTACAGCAAAACTGTCCCAAATGCCAAACTTACGTTGTCAATGAGCTGCCGAACCATTCCACTCCACTCCCCAGTAAATATATCGGGTGCACCGTATACATTATTAGGTGATTCTTCTATTGTATATCTGAACTTCATCTTTTCCTTTAGTTTATCTAGTAAGTCGATGCACAAACCCGCATACGTTTTTTCTCCAGTGCTGGATTTCTTTATAAATACAAATGGCTTCTCCTAAAATTGCAAAATGTGAAAGCAACAAACACACACAATAACACATACTTAGAGGCGATACTATCCTATTTGAAAGGATCTATTACATCTATTAAGCATATGTACATGATTTACACAATCCTCCACTCAAGTCAAAATAACGACATCGCCGGACGTTCAGTATCAATGGTATGAAGTGATAAGTAATATTGCTACCTCCTCCAGAATATAGTTTTTTTTCCTCTTGGGTTGCTCCTACCATCATCTTCATATAATATTTCTTGATGGAGAGAGCTATACGAGAGCATCTTTCTGAAGAACAGCTCAAACTGATCCGAGACTGGAGTGTCAACTTGACCTTTCAATTTTGCGCCTTGCGCACTCCTTTTCGGTTCCTAGCATTTCTCACCTACACATACATGGGCAAAATGATAACGATAAAATACACCCTTCTACTTAGCTCTATCGGTATTTGCAAGCCATTTCGGTTATCTATACATTATAACCTTGGCTCGGCTTACTATTATATAAAAAAAAATTAAAGACACCAGGTCCATTGTCCATTACTTACGATGACGGTAACAACCCTAATGGTTGTGTTCTCTACTACAGTTGAAGTGTCTGTGGGAACATTAATAGAACCAGAAAGCCAGATCACGGGCTGTCGAGGATCCATTACGATCCCATTTCTTGAATTCCAGTGACCAACCTGTATTTAAAAGGATAGCACTCGAATACGAATAAGAGCAAGAACATGGAATAAGTGTAGATGTTGAACTCTTCTGACGAGCATGGGACAGAGAAGTATTTGTGCTCGAAAGAATTTGAACCTCAGATCTTACTGGCTTTTGTGATTGTTAGAGGTGGTACTAAAACTGAACTAAACCAATCCTTTTCGGCATTACGGGTGTCCCGACTGAATTTATCAGTGATCAAAACGTTTTAGGTATAAATAAATACTCCGATCAAAACTGACTTTGAAAGTCACGTCATGTAAGCGAGAGCTTCTATGACTAACGGTGGGCTTAACCCTAAGTATAAATAAAGGTTTGTCAAAAAGCGAGCTGCGAGGTTCCACTTCGGATAATTAACTTTAACAGCGAATCTCGCTTGATCCAGTGGGAATTAATTCACATTAGGCAAGTACATAGAAAAAGATGTTGTTCGTCTTGTCACGAGCGTGGGACAAATAAAAAATTCGAGTCCTCATGAGGAATCGAACCTCAGACCTCCGGATTCTGCGCTTCGATGCCCTACCACTGAGCGAGGTTTATTACGAAGTTCATACGACACGCTTCCTGCATACTGCTAGGATCAGCAATGTCGATAGCGTCATTTTTGTAAATAGAATGAGAGAGATGGTAAGTTTTGAATCCAAAGGTCTGAGGTTCGATTATTCACGGGGACGCATAGTTTTCTTTTTCCCACGCTGGAGACAAGACGAAAAATCATCTTTCTCCTTCTCTTTACGAAGCTCAAAACTTACCATCTCACTTATTCTATTTACAAACATAGACAAATAAATTTTGAATTAATAGGGGGTTTCATTCCTTTTTAACCGTGTGTAACTAAAATGGAAAAGAAATATAATAAGTAACCTGAATAAAACCAGTCCTTCCTAGGTTGACGATATCATATTCTGCATACGTGGGTGAGCCGTTCTCTTCAAATGACAAGGATGTCATTAAACCATCAGTGGAAACCTTCATGCAGAACAATAAAAAAGTATGTCATACAACGGATAATGACGTTTCGTAACATCGAAAGTAATTGGATTCGATAATAAATCGCACTTACATTTTTAATATAGTCCATTAGTCTTTGACCTGGGGGCCATGGCCGGGTTGAGACTTCTCCTTCGAAATCGAATTCAAGCGAGACCTCTTTCACTTCAAATCCGTCTTTGATCATTTTATTCAAAGCTGCCCCTATCACAAGTGCTGAGTCGTAGCTCTTTCCTCCTGGTATCTATTAAAAAGAAGAAAACATCGATATACTAAACACTTGTGACTAACTCTTCTCGATACCTGCGACTTAGTCTGATCACAATTGGTCATTGTTAATTAAAAATCACCTTAACTAGGATAAAGCAATACCTCTCCTTACAGTGCTCTCTAAAACTTATAGCTATATTTGTGTTAAAGGACATTGAGAAAGGGCTTACACTGACTCCACTGCGGCGTTCCGATTTCCACACGCGAGAAAACTCTGTGTACAATTTACCAGAACCAGATGAGGGCCTGGTTCCTATAACACCATAAAATTCATGGAGTGGATAGTCGCCAGGGATTAAGCTCCAGTCCTTAGAAGAAAGAGAATTACACACTTTCAGTAAAACCAGAAAGTTTTTTAACCAGCTCGAAAATATTTTTGTAGTCAAAATTTGCACTAATTATGCCTGAGTTGTCTAGCTCCTGCCTTTTCTCCATTCCAGTGTCAACGATAATATCGTCTCCACTCCTTGACCTTATTCATTGTCTACCCATGACCAAAATATCATTCAAAAGCTCTTTACCAATTGCAATCAATTATAATATGCAGGACCACCCCACAAAAGCTAACGAATGTCGCGGGGAAGGTTGCATAACACCGGGTTACTGAGAGAGGAGGAAATGGTACTATGCCACTAGAAAAATGCACCTTAAATGGATAATAACATCACGACGTTTAAGTTTCATACACATAGAGGCTCTTTCGGATGGACTTACTGTATTAGTTGAGCCATCAGTAACGATCCATACCCAATCTTTGAGCATTCCGATATTAAAAGCTTGTGTAAGTACAACAACTGTGTAACGTGCCATTGTATTCAAGACAACAATCCGGGTGTGCGTTTTTCTTATCGCCTCGAGCTGTGGACTCACATCCAGGGAAGCATAGTCACTGATAGGATCAAAATGTTCGTTTGCAGAGATTTTCCAACCTTTTTGATTTGCGATATCCTTTAGGGCTAAGAGACCATTAATACCTAAAGATATAGACAATATGAGATTATTTCACTATTCCATCTTTGAGATTTTGATCCTGATTTGAACATTGTACGGAATTGAGGTGAGTTAGTTTATCATTTAATATACTACCAAGATAACTCAGTTAATATGTTCACATATTAAAAAAATAAAAGTTATCGTTCAGGCAAGAGTGGAATAAGCTTCAAGCAAATTGATTTATCACTGGCATTTTATACTTTAGGTGTATTCAATATGTCGTACCAGGATTTCAGTTGAACGAAAAAAATAATAATCATGAATAAAATCAAATAATGGTGCAACGGATGATAGAAAAAAATAAAAATAAAAAACAGAAAGAGACTGGACAAAGAATAAAGCAAACAAGCAATAACCAAACGTCAATTAAAAAGAAAAAACAAAAAAAAACCAAAAACAAAAACAAAAACAAAAAAATCTACAAACCGTAATCATCCTTTGATGTCAACAGAGATATTTGAGACCAGTTATAATATGAAATTAGGCCTGCCAAGGCCTGGCACTGAATCGTATCGCTCGGACTGAGGCGAACAAGGAATGGAAAGTTTGCTGATGTAAATGAAAATGTTGGGTCAGTCGCCACTGGTGCAAGCTGTGGAATGTGAAAACCAGCGCAGTAAGGCTGTGTAAATTTTACCCCAGTAGACGTCAATGGTCCAACTATGGCAACCACTCCTTTCTTGATGAGATATTGCACTGTTATATTTAAAAAAAAAAAATGAAATGAAAGAATAAAAACCATAACTGAGAATGATTTGTGCTTCCTGATCAAAAGCTGGAACAGAACTGCGATTTTAGCCTCTAAATCAACATGACCTGATTTCCCTTACAACTTTTGTATGGCTTAGTAAGCCAGCATGTACGGTTCCTTTTTTTTCTTCCATTTTCATTTTCTTTTGCGTTCAACTTTAAAATATTGTGAGCTCCTTTCATCTCCCGCCATAGAACCTGGTATAACAAAAGGTCGAACTGTAATCAACACCATCATAAAAGAATAAACCACGGAAGTTACCAAACAGTTCCTTTTTAAAGATAACTGACAACTATCTTTAAAACGTCTCCCACAACAGTCCTCAAAATATTAAATGAACGAAAATGCAAATCTGCAAGCTAGGGGATATTGCAAAACACAGGGGGTAAAATTGGAACAGTTTATCGCTACTTAAAAAAGTGACGATGCAAACAGAGCTTCGACCGAATCGGTCACGAAAAAAAATAAACGCATGCCCTAACTACATTTACAAAATGCTTGTGACCTTGAATAATAAGGATTAAACAACTTGTATTATCAGTAGTTTATCATATTTGATTTTTGACCTTCATTTCCACATGTTAAAGGATTGTTTACTAGCAGCATGGTCTCATCTCTCAGCCAGGTGAAACAGCAAAAAGACATCATCCTTAGCAAACTTGATGCTAGGATTACGAAAATTGATACTGACTTTCACACGAAGTTCCCGCATCGCGATTTATAACTTACCCATCTCGATGTTTTTGAAAGCATTCAGTGTTGCTGTCTTGTTGACAATTACTCTGAGCTTCGTACTTGGTAATATTGAGTTGTTACTGTTTATTGTGTCGATAGCGAGTCTAAAGGCGTCCTCATAGTCGACTCGAGGGCTATCGGATAACACAGCACCTGTTGAAACAAATAAAAGAAGTTCAGTTTTGCGAAGAAAGAAATTTTCCTCATATTTACTCTAAAAACACATAAAATTCATCACTAGCCTATTGTAAGGAATTCTGGTGGCGCGACAGCGGCAGATCCGCTAACGGGAATGTTCTGAAAGTAAGCAACCATTATAAACATAATCAAATCTAGAAATAGTGTTCTAAGCATTGCTGGCCGATGTCTGGGTCGTTTGGAAGACCAGATTGTCTAGAAATCAAAGGTTTCCTTCAAGCAACTTTTGTGGCATTGAACAAAACTCCGTTTACGTATAGATGTTAAAAAGAAGTTAATTGCAAGTCGATAAGCGTCGATGGCATGCGTGGTTGGTTATAACGTTCAAAGCCAATAACCCCATCAATACAACATTTGCATGACCTCCTACTGCATTGTTTTGCAATTAATATCGCCAGCTTAAAGAGTCACAGCTGGATTTCAACTTTTTAGGTTTACTTTTCGTATTGTAATGCCAATTCAAAGGATGACTGCTATATTGAAAAACACTAATAGCTGTTCCCATCTAGCTAAATTACTCTGGGAAGTGTCTTCAACATTTTTTCCACCGATTTGACGGCACGGCTTTGAAAAACATCATTCCGTTCCATTGTTTCAAAAATGCTTTCTCGTAAAAAATACACGTGATTTGCTAACATGTCGAATGATCGCTTACCAAATAATTAGAACATTAAATAAAAATAAAGTAGGTAAATTTCCGCAGTAAAATTGTCTACGCTATGTTATAGCTCAACATAAATTCTTATTGTCTAACGGAAACGGTAATGGAGGCAAACGATTGGACTGGCGGCCAGCTCGACCTCCTGAACTTTGAAGCGAATTTTTTCTTTGTTTTCAGAACTCTCAACGGTTAGCTTTATTAAATTTTCCTTTCTTAAACCGCCGTGTACTGAGTGCGGTTTTCGCTGGTCCAATAAGCTTTTCCCTTCATTTTCATTTAAAATCCATAAGAAAAAACTCCCAGCATGAACATATTAAACTGAATTTTTGTTTTAAAGTTGGCCTATGGAGAGTGTGGTGCATATTGCATTTCCTACATAAAATTGCCAAAATGAGAGCGAAGAAACACTTGAGTCCTTGCCGTTTCTAATGATTTAATTTCTCTATTTTTCAGCAAACGGACTACAACTTATACTTGACCTGATCATTTCAGCAGTTAACCATCTCCAGTCCTCCAGTCTTTCTACATCTGCCTGTGATTTCTTTCATGATCATAATTTTATCATACATAATTTTTTGTGGCGACAGGTTCCCTGAATGTAGGGCAGTCTTAGAATACTAGTTCGACAGGATAAAACATTCCGGAGAGAAATAAATAGAAAATCTGTGATTGAGGATGGATGATATTTGCAGTGCAACATGCGTGTAAAGGTCAGAAAAAAGGCCAGAATTGAGGATAATCATTGAATCTTCTAGCACATCTTAATTAATTTTCTACTTTCTTTTTTTTGTGGGTCTTGTATTTATGTTTTATTCACATCGATCCCGGCAGCCATTAATGACTCTTGGCCAATATTACAATGTTTGTTTGAAAGTTTGCTAAGCACTATAGGGAGCCTCATTATTTAATTTTTTTTCATTTATTTCCTGTGAAATTTTCAAAGTCTTCCTGGTTGCAAGTAATTTTAATCTGAAACAAAATAAGAAAACTACTGTATTTCAAGATTCCGACATGATTAAGTATACTTCATTGAAATCTTAATAATAGCTTATACATTATTCGTTATCCTATTGATCGCGGCGCTTGCATGGGTTACCACTATTTTGTATAATCATGGGGCTACGCACTGCGAGCTCCGCTATTATAGGATTTCATGAACTCTATGCCTTTGGCCATATTTCAACTCTTTCATTTGCATCTCTCATATTCAGAGTTCAGTTTAGTTAACATATCTCTGATGTTCAGTCGAATCAATTCTGTTTAATTAGCGCAACATTATCATCCTGAGGAAAAAATATAGATATATATTTATTTTAAAACCGTTATGAAATTGCCACTCGGTCAGGTTGATGAATGAACGGAAAAGTCTTCAACATTCTCGACCCATGGTTGCTTGTCGGAATTTTGTCAGATTATGGTTGCTAAAAGGCTGAAAAATCCGTTTCGCTTACAGACAGTAACGTTCAGAGAGTAACGTTCAAACTTTCCTAGAAGGAGAAGAAAACCAAAAAACCAGTGGCTTTGGTAATGGCTTTTATTTTTATTCGTGAATAAATTATACTTTTCTTGTTATTGAAGGGCTATTGCGTTTATATAATAAACTGAATAATACATGTTGCTTTTAGATGTGAGATTTCTCTTCTCGCGTTCAACTCCACATCTCACTTGTTCGCTTTCTCAATTGTGAGCTATCGAGTTGACCATTCGAAGAGAAATTTCACATTTATTCTCTATTTAATAACCAGATGCTCGCGCCTTGCTTTGCGAGAGATTTGAGACGCAACAAAAAGAAGTGCTGCCTTTCAAGATTTCAATACAAATAATCACGCTCATTTAAATCTGAATAAAAGTTTTTAAATTATTGATTATGGTAATATACTTCGAAGAAATATCGATGCTCGGGCCTTGCCTCGCGAATGGAAATCGGAAACAGCCTGGTCTATCTCTAGGATATAACAGATATTTTCCAACTTCATCGAAAAGAAAGACTAGATGAGGTGCTTTTTAATGCCAGAAGGTTTGTAATTTGATGTCAAGTTTAGAACCAGTATATATGCTTCTCCAATCTTTTTGCCCGAGTTCATGAAATCACTTCATATCGTCATGGTGATAAATGTTCAACTATCCAAGCTTAGAGCTTTAGTAGAAAATTGATTTCCATATCTTAATTTAACCAACGTCCACTTTTAACCATTACTCAGATTAGGAAAGAAGGAAAAATCTTAGAGCTGTTTTACTCTGCGACTTCAGGGGGCCGAATTATGGAGGTCCTATTGGATATGCGTGGATTAAACTTCGATAAGTTAGAAAAATAACGTGGAAACAGGTAAAACTATGGAGGAATTATCGAATAAGCATCTATTGATTTATTCATCCTTAATTGCAAAATGTAGAGCCTAGTATAATATCATGACAGGTGTATATGACGCCATCTAGAAAAAATTTGGTCCGGATATGTTCAAGTTTCTTAGTTGACATCTCTTGGGAAAACATCATTTTCGCCTGCAAGATTTTATCTCAGGTTTTCTAAAAACTTATTCGACCATATGATCCATTTCTAGGAAATTTGATAAAGTGATGCAGCTCTATTTTTCGATTCTGGTGATTATATGCTCCTCACAGCTTCACAACGTTGTCGGAAAATGTCGACCTTCGACTTACTCAATAAACAGCCACTACTTAGCTGGTCACGTGATGTCCACAAGGATTGTCTCCAGTCTTTCTGAGTGTGTGATAATATGTGTAACTGATGTCCACTGTAAAAGTTTGAACTTCCATTCCATCGATGGGTTATGTGACTTGAATGACGCAGACAGACGTACCCTCTCAAAAGATTTTCGACCGAAAATAGGATGCATCTACATGGAAATGTTTCCTTCATTTAAGGTCTGTTATTTCAATATATTTCCAGTATTAGAACGCGAGATTCAGAATGACTTACCACGAATGATGATAAATTTTATTTCCACGTTATATAAGCGAACAAACCAGAAATTTATCGTTATTTTGTTCCATTCGAGAACCAGGCTTATATTCTACCATTTGTCTTGTTCGGTTGAAGTCCTGTGCAGAAATACAACAGGCGCAGCCTCAGGCAAAGAATGGATATTACTGGATACAGATTGGAAGCAGAGAAGCTCAGGTTTATTGTGATATGACGAACTATGGTAAGTTAGAAAAAAAAGGAACATTGGAAAAGTTTCAAAAAGAGTCAAATTATATTATTCGATCGTTGTTTTTGTATTTCCTGAGTTACCTTCAGGTTTGATCACTTTGTACAGATTAGTTGAAGAAATTTAACCAATTTGAAACAAATTAATCTGTTCAATCGAAGTAAAAAGAGAGAATGTTTCAAACTTTCGACTCACCTCCTTTGCCAGTTCGTTAGATAATAACCCAGGCAAGATCTAACGTGTTGCAGCTTTAAGCTCGAATCTAACGGTACACTCAATTTCCTCCTTTGTACGTAAGGAAGATCTTGCACGCAATGACTAAATAAATAATTTAGGTGTTTTTTATCAGGCAGTTAGTCCATTAAGATTTTCGATTATAATGTTTTGCAAGCCTGGTTTTCTTAGCTTAGCCAGTTTTCTTTACTGACTATACTTTTCCTGAAATTGTTATCCATTTCTAAAATGCATGAAATAGGTGGCGGTTGGACTTTGGCAGTGACCATCAACTCCGCGAAAAACGATCATCTTCAGAGCGCTGAAATGAATTGTCTCAACTCAAAGCTGTGTGTTCCGTTTACTGAGAACGACATCGCAGCCAGAAAGCTAACGGACAAAGACATCCACGAGCTACTACATTTTGAAGGTTAAGCTATAAAATGTTACAAGGTCAAGAAAAATATTTAAAATATGTATCAAAATTTCACGTTTCGCCGGCACGCCGCATTTAAAAAACACGTGCCACAGTACCTCTGATCTTTGCACGGGCTATAAGTGAGCCTGTTACTAAATTAAGTTCAGAAAAATACTGACATGCGCTGTTTTTCCCTCGAGTTACTTAGATTTATTATACAAACTACGGTGTTACACAAGGATTTCCAGCCCTAAGAAAAGCCGTAACAACACTCTTGAAAAAATACGATATTTTTTCACTTGTGTTTTATAACGCCAATCGGCTGCTGAACGTCACTCGCCTTTCGTGCCGGTCAGGTTGACGAATGAACGGCGAAGTCTTCGCCGTTCTCAATCCAAGGTCGTTTGTCGGAATTTTTTCGGTTTATGGCTGCTAAAACACTGAAAAATCCGTATCGCCTATGCCACAGACAGTGACATTCAAAGTTTCCTAGAGGGAGAAGAAACCAAAATACAAAAAGAAAAATCGAAAGTTACGTAATCAGTTGTTCTAGTGTAGGTATTTCTCGCAGCTAAGAAAGAAGATTTGGCACAGCCGGTTTTGGCCGTTTGCCTGAAAGATTTTCTTTGCCGGTAATGACTAATTCAATAACTGAGAACTTTGTAGATTGAAAATAGGCCCATTATTTGTTTTTGTAGTGATTCAACGCATGTTTTCATCTTAAGCACGCCAACATACTTTAAGATGTTTATTCAGGAATTGTCGATCCTTTTATTTTCATTCGCTTATTAGGCCGACTTTGCATGTCAGAAGAGGGCTATTGTGTTTATGTGATAAATAAAATAATACATGGTTTCTTGTAGATAGAAAGTTTCTCTTCTCGTCTTGAACTCGACAGCTCACTCGTTCGCTGCGCCAACTTTAAAGTTATTGAGTTCAACACCCGAAGAGAAATTCCATATCTACGTGCGTCCATGTATGTATCGCGAAGACCAAATATAATTTTTACTGCAACTCTTATATTTATTTTTATTTAGAAACCTTTAGAGTTGATGTTCTGGAAAAAAATGCATGTATCACAAAGACAAAATATAACTTTTACCGCAACTTTGATATTTATTTTTATTCAGGAACCTTTAGAGTTGATGTTGTGGAAAAACAGGTCAAATATACCATATTTTATCAGGTACAATTGAATACATGTTCAAGTTTAATAACTCTCTCTTGAAAGATCAAACATGATTTTTACGTTTTCTTTATATTTAATTTTAGATTCCGAGTGGTCCTACAAACTTTAAATCAACGTGCAGTCATGGAAAGTAAGTTTTCTCGTAATCATATGCAATGAATAATTTCCATTTCGACTCTTGCTTTAATTGGCGACATAGGCATCCCCATAATCCTTCGGGTCACACCGTAACCGTTAACCTGGGGGGGTTGACAAACTTGCACGACCAAGGAATTGAGCTCTGCATAAAAAAAGGTTCCTCATTTTTAAAGCGGTAATTCTAACCCGTTGACAATATAAAAATAAGAACAAGAAAAACGATAACAAAATCAATGGTGTTACACTGATAATGACGACAATGACGAAGAAAACGACAACAACCACGGCGATAACGATAATTGTATCGAAAAGAGTAAGGACGACGAATACGTTTACAATTACAATAAGGACAGGAATGATGATAACGATAATGATACAAAGCGAAAAAAAACTTAACACTGATGAAATTAGTACTTTTGGATAAGTATAAGTAACATAATTTCGAGTGCAATCTGGTGTAAATAAATACGAGTAAATTTTTCAAAGACAACAAAACAGCACAAAGCCGTGGGTGCTTATTACAACAAATTGCACTCGAAATCATGTTATTACTTGTTGATAATGCACATGAAAAAATATCGCAGAAAATCAAGACGGACGCAATTTTTAAAGAGCGCGCGCTATATGTAATTTGCACCCGCGTTTCAACTTTGCTTTGGTTGAAAATGGCTTTGGGTGGAAAGTTCGGGGGTAGAGAGGGTAGGTTTTTGAAACTTCTCAGCCAACTGGCATTTTTTTCTTTTAGGCTGAATGGGGCTTGTGTTATTCATTGTAGTTGAAAGCCTGCACTGCAGGATTGATATTTGGGCTTGTAATCTTACACAAGACAGCCACCGGGCCAACACTCCATGGCTGGAGGTCGGTTGAGCGTCAAAACCATGCCTTTGGTCGAGAGGGCATCGCTAGAACCGAAGAAAATGCAGGGGGGCTTAACGTATCATCATTATCATTGTTACTCATAATTGTTACTATTAGTACCATTAATATTGTTTTTTTTCAGGTGTCCACGCATAATCATATCACATTCTTTTCCGTATCGTTGGGAGACTAACACTTGTACAAACCAGACGACTGGGTATAGAATTGCCGGCAGTTGTCACAGAGGTAAAAACAGAAATAGAGTGATGTCTACCTTTTTCTGTATTCTCGGTGTTATCTCTTTTAAAAAAAAAAGAAGAATTAAGGTGACCAGGTTTTTTCTCGTTCAGCTAGTGAATTGATCCGAGAGGAATCGCAGGTTACTTTATTTTATTTTTTGTCTGACTAATTTTGGCACTTTAACACTGTGTATTTTACATTTCACGATCTTTTGGGGAAAGGAAGTTGATGTTTGGAAAATTAGAAGGATATTTTCTTTAATTCATGATGATTAATTAATAAATGGATTGAAGATTACAATACCTCAAGGGAAAGTTCGACGTTTTCTTATCTAGACAGCACCAACATGAAACATCACGGACCTAAACAGCCCTTTTAAACTAGAAATCTACATATCCTTTTTTTTTTATCGTCACTGCTATCATCGTTATCGCTGTTATCATTATTAATGATTATTATCCCCATTTTAATTATTATCTCTTTCGTTTTTTTCAAATTGTTTTCTCAGTGTTCGATGGACATGACGATGGCGAGTGCGGCTCCATGTGGCGTTCATCTCAATGTAAGAATGGATGGCAGTTGACTATTATCTCTTTTATCAAAAATTAATAATTATACTGAACAATTATTCACCGGAGGCGAAGTGAATATTTTTCATATACTCACCGAGATGTAGTCCAGCCTAAGGCGAATAATCGTTTTATTATAATTGCTCAGATTCGCATATATATTTTTTTGACTTGCGTTGATTGCTTGTATCAAGATAAGCAAGCACTTTTAAAGAGACTTTTTAATTCCTTCAGCAAAAACCGGAATTAGCTCTGATGGTATAACCATGAATTAGACTTTCCAACCAAATTCCAATCAAATCATTCCAAATTTTATCTCATTCATTCAACAGACCCTCAAACACGAGCATTGTATGGTTATGCACCGTGCAGCCATGGTGGAATCTTCGAAAACAAGTGTGGGATGTTGTTTGTAAAGTAATCCTGGGAGAGATTCGATGGAATGTGTTTTGTTTTGTTTCAACGTCACTAACGTTCTGTGATGACGCACCGCTATCCCTAAAAACGAAAGAGATTTTTTTCCTTTTTCTTCCAAATATGGTGTCATTTTAAAATTTATTTAGCTTCAGTCATAAGCTTAAAAAGAAAATGATTAGACTTTCAAGGTCCTTGCTATCATATCAAACCAAGATTTTAGCCATACTTTACCTAATCAGGTGATTATCTTATAGACACGTAAATTTTGAAAGATTTACTTAGGGGTCCCTATCTTCTTTAGGCGTAGATAGATATCCATGATTCCTATGACATCATGACAATTACATTTGAGTATATTTGCTAAATTCGGGTAACCGAAAATTGTTCCTTTTCGTACCCTAAGAAAAGGTTTGCTGAAATCCCAGAAAGAAAAAATAAGTGATAGGTCAGTGTCCTCGTTTGGGAGAAAATTATGATATAAATATTAGGTGATCTACGACCATAAAGAAAAAAGTTACTATTGTTTGTGTACATGTGCGCGCGCTAGTTTGGTCTGAAACAGGTATGCATAGTGAGGATGCGTAATGTAGCACTACTTGAAAGGGTCAACTTCATTTAACAAGGAAACTGTCTGTAAACACAGTAAAAGTAGTAATGAAACTAAATAAATTTCCCCTCCAACCTTTTTCGAAGCGTATTATTATTTCTCTTACATTTGTGAACTCCTTGTGATATAGGTCACCCACAACAGATACAATCCAAATACAAACTTCCTCTTCCAACGCCCGCATTGTACAATTCCAAGGTCCTCCTGGGGCATGAAGCTCCGCGCCTCGAACAGCAAGTTTAGTTTTCTGACGATTAATGCATGCCGAGAGGGTTTTATTGGATGCCTTTCGGGATCGCACGATAAATCGACAAGATCGAGTCAGTGTTGCAATTGTGTGCTCCATGTAACTGCACATAAAGCCACGTAAGAACCTGCGCCTCTAACGAAGAACTTTAGCCTTAGCTTATGATCCTTGGAAGAAACCAAATTTCGTTGATTATTTTGATTTTTCATTTATTTCCTGAAAAAGCAGTTTGTGATGACTCTTCCGGCTAAAGTTTTTCTGCCAGCAGGTTACTCCAAACCAAACCCAAACGAAACAAAAACCTAATATAGAACAAAATTTTGAGACAATGAACGGTACTTAATTAGAATCTGAAGTAGAGGTTAATATCCTTAATTGATCAAATTATTGGTTGCGTTGCTTGAAAAAAAAGGTAAAATTAAAAAAATAAGAGTTACAGCTTCCATATCGGGCACAATTTTCAATGATTCGTGAGGGAAAGTTTATTTATTTTCTTTGTAACACCAATTGAAGTAGTTCTTTCTTAAGCGTAGACTTTACGAAAAAAAAGGTTTTCACGATTTGCCTATTGAAGTTGGTTGCGATTAGGTAAAGTTGACATATTCCTTTGACAAAGTATGTTTGACGCCTATAGAACTTAAACAACGCATTCATTTTAAGTAGGTAAAGTAAGTCATCCCGGGCAAAAAAATTTTTCAACCAATATGAAAGTGCTGTATGTTTTGGGGCAGGTCACATATCAGTTACTTCCGTTTTATCAATTTATTTGTCCTATCGTTCTCGAAAGTTTTAGTTTATCACTTTATTTTATCATCTTTGTCATGAGATCTCCAGCCAGCTGTCGCTAAAACAAGTCATTTAAATAAATTGGGTTTGTACCGTCACGTATCGGGTTACAATGGTCTATCCATTCTTATTTACCTGATGTCCCCTTCGTGCTTGCCCTACAACAAAACAGAGCACAGACAAGGCTTCTCTTTTTGTTATTTATTGCGAAAAAAAACCTATAGTTTAATGATTTATCTCTATTTCTCTCTTTCTCTTTGGAAAGTGGACATGTAAAGATCAATAGTAAATTATAATTCAACGCTCGACACGAAAAACAAACGGTTTTTTTTTCCTTTTTTCCTTTTTTAATTTTGAAATTGAGAACCCAGCAAAATTTTTCATATGCTTCCAGTCTTGTGCAGAAATACGGCAAGAATGGCCTAAGGCGGAAAGTGAATATTATTGGATACGATTGGGAGCAGAGAAGTTCAATTTTATTGTGATATGATGAACTACGGTAAGCCCCAAGTCAAATAATTCCTTTCAGTCAAGACTTTTATATTTTTGTATTACAGCTCGCTTAAGCCTTAGAATCTATCGGAACACCAATTTTTATTTATTCTTTGTTGCTGAGTTTTCAGCGGTAGTCATCTTATTCAATCAAGTTCACCAATTCAATCCAACAACATTATTGAAAAAGGAGAATCTTTTCCCACCTACCACGCTAAAAAGACTCAAAAATTACCCAAGAGTAGTGACTATGATACATTGCGTTGGATCTTGTAGCTCGAATCTAAACTTCTAAACCTGTTCTGATCTAGAATATAGGAGATTACTCGTTAAAAAACCGGCAAAAATTAAACTAAGATGAAGACAAATGTTCACCCAATTAAGAGTTAGGGTTTGGAACTCCCTGAGCACGCAGAATCATTGTTGTGGACGTGGTTGTTGTTGTTTTTGTTGCTGATGTTATTTTCTTAGTTTTTCATGTTTATTCATATATTAATTTTAAGTGTTCTTACTTTTTTCTTTTACACACAGTCCCTGACTCATTTAACGAGATGCTTAGTCATGCAATTAAAATGATTGCAATGTCTATTTTCATTAGGTAGCGGTTGAACTTTGGTAGTGACCATTAGCTCCAAGAGCAACGATCACCTTGAAGGCGCTGAAGTACACTGTTTTAAACCCACATTGTGTGTTCCCTTTGTCGAAAAGAACAGCGACATCACGGCGCAAAAGTCAGGAGACGAAGATATACACGAAATGATGCATTTTGAAGATAAATCCGAGAACGTCTCAATTAGGGTTTTGCTTTCTACATTGTCCACTCAGCCTTCTATTTTTGTTTCTGCTGCAAATTTAAAGGAAGGCGCTTAAAAGTAAGTATGCTCATAGAGAACTTGGAAGTATTTGGTTTACTCAAATTCCATTGCATATGATTTCTCACCTTTAACCTTGGCAGTAATTTTTTTTTTCAGGAGTCGATTTTTTTTTAGAGTCGATGTTTTGACAAGGAATGTCACTTGCACCGTTTTTTTACCAGGTATTGCCCACTACATGTTTGAGTTCAATTGCTGTTTCTTGTTAAATCGCATAATTGAATAGTATCTGGCATTCTGATTGGTCAACGAAGCGAAGTATTTAGCGTGGAATTGCAAGTTGAAAACGAGGCTAAATGATATTGTTTCGCGTCCACGTAAACATAGCAACTATCGTCAAATTGTAACAAAGCTTTCTACAATGTCATTTTAAAGTGTTTTCAAAACCATTGTCTCCTTTTGAAGAGCCAAAAACAAACAAAAGCGTTTTTCAAAGTGAGCTAGAGGTTCTTCTCTGATTTGAAATGAACTACAAGTTCTTGGAGAGGCATATAAAACCTCTTTCGCTTGCGATAACAAGAAAGCTTGAAATCCTGTATAAACGACCCATAAAATAGCAAGCGAAAGTTCAACCAAACAAGACCTAGAAGCTTCAACGGAGGAAGTGCCAGGGTTGATTGTCAGATATACAGAAGAAAAAATCAATACCTTTAATCACGATGTTAAACTTTCAGTGCTTTCACTTGGACACTTCATTCTTTTCAGTTTTGCCACCAAAGAGGTAAAAGGTGTAAATTTTTGTAAAATTTTTTATTGTGCGTTGTGAGAATTTTGCTCTCTAAAAGCCTCAAAAAGCTAAAGTTGCTCTCGGCTGCGCCTCGAGCTACTCTTACGCATTTTTCGTGCTCTCCAAACTTCCCGCATGCATCCATAACTCGATATACGCACGCTAAGCATGAACAAATTCTTAAGTATAATTCCTTTTTTTTCCTTATTTTTATTAAATTATGCAATTCAAGGAAAATCCATTACCTGACCCGTGAATTCCGCGTTAAATTTTACTTGAAAACCGATATCGCACTCATCGCTCCGCGATTCGGTTTTCGCGTGCAATTTAACGCGGAATTCCCTCGTCAGGTAATGAATTTTCCCATAGAATACCTCGAATAATTACGCATATCCTTTTTGAAATTCAATTTAGATACCAAGTGGCCCAGAAAAATTTCACTCAACATGCAGCTATGGGACGTAAGTGCATGTAAGACAGATGATTTAGAGTCTGCCAATGTATATTATCTTTCTCTCTCGCGTCGGTTAAAATCGTGGTTAAATTCGAAGTCACAAACTCCTCCAATTATCCCTTAAACAATGCAAAAACAGATATCATTGCCTAAGTTTGGTCGGAACGAAAGGGAAAAAATTTGACTCTTGGTCATGAAGCATAGACCTGGCTGGCCTCGAGCCAAATATCTTCCCGCCTGGCCCTCCCACTCAGTCAATAAGTCATAGCATCAACGTGGTTTCCTCAAATGTAAACAATCCAGAAGCTAAAGCTTAGGGTTGAGGTGCTCTCTTCACGTTCCCCTTTCTAACGGGGTGACGTATGTCATTCTGCTTTCCAAAGCAAACACAATGATTAACTCGTGTAGATGAATAGAGTAGGTTCAAAAAGAGAGACTTCTGTATTTTGTCATGCTTTGCTTTGTTTCTTTTTTCTATCTTTACTTTCGTTTTTGTCGAATACAGGTGTCCATGCAAAATCATTTCTCATTCTTATCCTTATCGATGGGAGACAAATAGTTGTACAAATATTGACGTGGGCTACCGCATTTACCCAAATCGCCACAGAGGTAAAAGAATTGATAATATGCGATAATGAGTTATGAACTCTCGTCCTCGTCTGCAAATGAAACGCAGAAGACCAAGAATAACCAGAGACATTCAAATAAGATACACCATTTGGTGGCGGAATTAAGAAAATCCAGAGAGATGAAATTTTGGATCTTAGCTCCGTGCTTTTTAACTTTAAAAGTATTTCATAATATTAGAACCTGTAGGCCGGAGAAAAATTTCCAATTCATATATTTAAGAGTTTGGTGGCAACGAGATGTGAGAGATTACATCCAGTTGAAGACACACGCGAAGTCAGTTTAGGGACTTTACTGGGAACAAAAATTTGTGTATAATACCCTACCCCCCTCCCGCACTCCTCTCACCCACTTACCTCAGAGTAAGAATAAAATTTCTCTTTTGGGCGTAACCAAGTGCAGTGCGTATTTTAAATATCAACTCTTTCTCCTTTCTAAATCCACACATCTTGACTCTTTTTGCTTCTGGTCACTAGTCTTCGACGGACATGGGAGTGTGGCCATTTGTGGTATTCATCAAAACGTTGGAGAAAATGGCAATTAATTTCAATTTCGAAGTTAATTCTTATTGATAGCTGATTAATAAATTGTCTTTTAAACGATTTCCCTCTAACATCAGCATGCATATTCTCCATCTTATTCTCGATACATTTACCAAGGTGCTTACAAGGATAGCATGTCGCTAGTTACTCTAAAGGGCCAAAGAGTTAAGACTGTATAATCTTCTTATAGTGGGAGAAGTGATGGCCTGATAGCAAATCGGAATTGCCTGTTTTGCTCTGCTTTTGGGTGAAACTTGAGAGGTTTACTTTCACAATGCCATTCTACCTTATCTTACCCGACGAAATGTAAGACCCTCTCTAATAGATTAACGTTGAGCCGGGGGAGCACCAAACTTTGATGGCAAAATCGTATATTTCAAAATAGCCCCTGACTCCCATATTTCAGTCCATTCTAAAATAGACCCTGGAAGACGAACGTCGTAAGGTTATCCACAGTGCCACGGCCAAAATAATCATGCAATCTAATGTTGTTTGTAAAATAACCCTGCTTCGGAGAAATACGGTAAATTATATCGGCCATAGTTTGATACTACTCTGGTTTGCAGATTTAATCATGTTAATGAATGTAACCGAAGAAGTTACAATTCATAGATACAATTCATAGACCTAACTTTTCGACACTCCTGTCTAGAGCCTTCATCAGGGGTGATCTAAACGCTGCAACAAGAAGTCCTTTTATATGATCACTAATTAGCGGTCTTTTTTCTGACGAGGTGTAAATAGGCGTCAGGAAGCAAACCGCCATCGTCACGATTTAAAGAAGCGTGGGCGGAGTCAATATGCCAAGCCTCCAAACAAAGGCGCTGGTGGTAACGCCGATTAGTGGTGATAATTTTAGAATTATCCCACCCAATTTTATGGTTAGTTAGACACGTATGCTCCGATAAAGTTCCTATGAATTGTAACTTCTTCGGTTACATTCATTAAATCTGCAAACCAGAGTAGCATGAAATTATGTCTGAATGTCCGTGTGAACTTTAATATATTACATCAGCATTCTATTGATCAATCAGTAAAAATCGGAATGAGTTGTGATGGTATAATCATAAACTAGACTTCCCAATTACATAATTCCAAATTTATCTCATTCATTCGAAGCATGTTATTGTATCTCTTACATTTCTATACCCCTTGGGATATAGGTCACCCACACCACATACAATCTAAACTCCAATCAACCTTCTCTGTCGACTTCCACATCGTACGATTCTAAGGTCCTTCTGACGCATGAACCTTCGCACCTCGTGCAAAGGGTTTTGTTTTCCGACCATTAATGCTGAGATTAAATTATTTATTGCGCGGCTTGGAAAAAAAGATAAAATAAAAACTGCAGTTAAAGCATCCATATCGGACCCAATTTTCGATAATTTGTGAGGGTAAGATTATCTCTCTCCCTTATAGTACCAATCTGTAGGCAGTATTTCAGTCACATGTTTACCTCTGTAAACTCCAATATAAATCAACTGCATAAAACTACGGGGAGGGTTTGAAAAGATAGCCGGGAAAAGTAAGGGTTTATCAATCATAAATTAGAAAAATTATCAATATAATTAATTTTCATAGAGATTTCCACCTCCCCTACTAAGTATACTTAACTTTAATAAAGACCAGCCCTGTAAATTTGTACAAAGTTTATTAATCAATCACCAGTTTGCATCCTCTTCTCCCGTCTCACTCAAATGACGCTTAATTATAATTGTACAAATTAGCAATCTTGAAAGCGAATTGGGCGGATATCACTCTCCATTTTGCTTGGCCACTTCACAAAGGATCTCCCTCAACTAAAACTTTAGTGCATTTGGCTGCATATACTCTAGCGGAACGGTCACATCTTAAACATCTTCGCATTTCTGGTTGGCCACTTCAACAAATTCACATGTATTTTGCCGCCACAGCTACCCGTAAAATTTCCGCACAGCCCCATCCTACATTATGCATTCAGTTCTTGGAAAGAGAAAATAATGACAAAAGTAATACATTGCCCTTAGGAAAACAAATTTGTTTTACAATAGTATGGGGCTGTGCGGAAGTTTTACCCAGCTGCCATTCCTCGAAGACTTTTTAAACCCACTTAGTGGTAAATTGTATTGTTTTCGGAGCGGCTTCCGACAGTGGACTGGTCTCTTCTACTATAATCTTTGGAGAACGAAACCGACCAGTGTCGGAAAAGCCATATGAAAATGAATTGCTATAATTCAATACTGTATATTTCCAATCTCCCATGGGAGAGCTGCACGCCTACGTAATTAACACGACGAACGCAATATATTGTCACGATTTCATTTCACAAGTAAGATAAAATAATCGCGTCCGCTCTTTATCGGCTTTAAAATGCCGGCTCGCCGTTTTAAATGCCCGTAACAGCTCCCCTTTTAAATAACAATAAAGGGCTCACGCTCATATTTTATCTCTTATTTAAAGAAGTACTTGTTCAAGAGTAGACTTTAAAAAAAAATGGTTTACACAATTTGCCTATTCAATTTGTTGGGATTAAGTAAATTGATATATCCTTTTGACAGAAGACGTTTGACGCCTATAGAATAAACAAAAGATTCATTTCACGAAAGTAAACCAAGTCATCCTACGAATAAAACATGGAATTTTTTAACCAATGTGAAAGTGCTCTATGTTTTCGGACAGATCACAAATCAGTTACTTCCGGTTTATCCAATTTGTTTGTCTCGTCCTTCTTGAAAGTTTTAGTTTATCGGCATATTTTATCATCTTTATTATGAGATCTCAAGCCATCTGTCGCTAAGACAAGTCGTTCAAATAAATTAAGTTTGCATCCTCATGTATCGGATTACAATGGTCTATTCATTTTTAATGACCTGATGCCAACGCCTTGCCACGCAAAAGATCTGAAAAAGGACTTCCTCTGTTTGCAAAACACAAGTTAGATTGCTGTGAATTGTAGTTGTGTCAAAGTTTTCGTACTATAACATCGAAACAAAAGCCTGGTTGAGCTTCCCGAATGGCAGAAGGTTAGTAATTTACAGCTAACTCGCATTAGATAAACTTCAATTCCCCCCAGTTTATTTTCTTCTCGCTCTAGTACGTGAAACTCTTTGTTATTACGCATAATACAAAATTGTGCTTAAAGGTTTCTTAGAAAACCTGATCAACTTTTCCATGAGTCCTTCAAAATAAACTTTTTTCCCGGTGAATAAGACTTTCTTTTTCTATAAGCAGAGTGTTAAGAATTTAAAAGATGTACAGGGTGTAAATCATATTTTTTGTGCTTCGACTTCAAGTACTGGCTTGCACAACTCCATTGAAACAAAAAACATATTGAGGTTATGTGTTTTGGGGATCATAGTAGATTTGTATATTTAGTTAAGATCAATTCGGTAAGTTGAGTTTATTTTTTGGAAGGACATCATTTTCGTGTGCTATTTATTCAATAGACTGCACTTTCTATCGGTTTACCGGAGTTATAACCCACGCAAGACGTTCTGAGAACATAGGGAAAGTTAGGATTTAGCAGTGCAATAAACAATAGGTTTTTGACTAATTAGGGCCCTCGTAATATCTCAGTTGTTCCTGAAAGCTTCGAAATTTATCTCATTTTCATGATGTGATCAATTTCCAGGAAATTGATTGTGAGATGCAGCTTCGTTTCCCTATTCTGGTCATTTTCTGCTCATCAAAGATCCTCAACGTCTTCGGAAAATGTCGTCCTTCGACTTATTCAATAAGCGGCTTCCACCTGTCTGGTCACGTGATGTCCACTATGATTGTCTCCAGTCTCTCTGAGTGTTTGAACACGCGTGTAACTAAGTTCCGCTGTAGAAGTTTGAACTTTTGTTCAAAAGATAAGTCGTGTGACTTAAATGACGCAAGAAGACAAGTCTACCCAGAAGATTATGGACCAAAAGCAGGATGCATCTACATCGATGTGTCTGAATCACCTGAGGTTTGTCCTTTAAATATATTCCCAATGGTGAAATATATTCCCAATGTTAAAATCAATAGTGTATTGATTTATCTCAATTTATCTTTCTCCGTTTGAAAAACGAAATTCTTAAGATCATGATTGAGTCAAAATTCGACGCTCGACACGAAAAACAAACGATAAGTTTCTTTTTCCTTTTTTTTCTTTTTTTCAAATCGAGAGCCCAGCAAAAGATTTTATTCTTTTTAAGTCTTGTGCAGCAATACAGCAAGAGTGGCCTCAGGCGGAAAGTGGATATTATTGGATAACGATTGGGAGCAGAGAAGTTCAGGTTTTTTGTGATATGACAAGCTATGGTAAGCCCCAGGTCAAATAACTCTTTTCAGTCACGATTTCCTATTTTGTTACTACAACTAATTTAAGGCTTAGAATCTATTGAAACATCAGTGCTTTTTATTCTTTGTTTCTCAGCTGTTTTCAGCTTTTGTCATCTTATTCAATTAAGATCACCAATTCAGTTTAACTCATTAAAAAACGGGATTCTTTTTCTTACTTACCACACTGAAAAGTCTCAATAATTACCCGAGAGCAGTCACTATGATCCATATTGTTGGATCTTGTAACTCGAGTCTAACTTACTAAACCTGAATATAAGAGATGACTGGTTAAAAAAGCTGGCAAAAATCAGCTAAAATCAAACTAAGATGAAACTAGATGCATAACTACATTAACTCGGGCTTCTTTGCTTAAGAATGTTTACAAAGGCATGTAATCTAACGAAGAGTAATGTTTATTTTACGTTTTGAAAAATTAAAGCCCAAATCATTTGGATTGTTTTCCTAACTCCCCACCACCTCAAGTTTCTTTGTTTTGCTTGTTATTATTAATTTATAGGAATTGAAAGGCGCTCCGCACAAATGTCACAAAAAAGAAAGAAAGCGGACTCATTTCTAATACGTGTAGATCAAAATAGATCACTGACGATGCAAGTCTGAGTAGATGTTTACAACTTATTTCGTGCATTGCTTTTGGAATAGCTCGAGTGGTGGCATGGATATATATATATATATATGTATATGTATATATATGTGTATATATGTATATATATGTATATATATATATATATATATGAACAAAGAATTACTATTTAACATTATTTTTAATAATTTTAGTCAACTTTTTTCTATCATTTCTATTAACATTTTTATATGAAGATGTTACAAACTTTATTGTGTATTGTCCTGAAGATCTATGTTCATTTTGAATTTTGCAGATGACTTCAACAATTGAAGGTATACCATTTATGCATTTAGTGAACTGAATTAGTGGTATGTGACTTTCATTGTATACTAACAAAGAATAAACATACTTTGACCTATTTGTGGATTTTGAGATACAACTGATATAAAAAAGATTCAAAACTCATCAAAAAACCTGTTTAGAATACCATCTTCAAGAATGACTAAACATAATTGCACCAAGATCATTAGTAGAATTAATTCCTTGTTTGTTAGAGTCAATTAGAGAACAAAAACTTATTGGAACGCATTGTTGTCGTGCATTTTGTCCAAATATCAAATCATAACCTTGACTATAAGGTGCTGCAACTGTCTTGCTAGGGTCAGTTTACACTAGAGTAGGACCACGATTCTTTTTTATATCTCTACTCAATTTAAATTCACAATATTTTACTGCATGGCTCTAAGTCTTGGGAAGACTTGTCAATGTATTTCATGAAAATAATACTGACTAACTCTACGTTTTAATATGTATGCACGTAGAGAGCTTGGAGATATTTGGTCTATACAGATTCCATTGCATATAATTTCTCATCCCCAAGCTTGACCCTTTTTTTTTCAGGAACTTTTAGAGTTGACGTTTTGAGAAAGGGTGTTTCTTACACCGTTTTTTACCAGGTACTATTTATAACATGTTTGAGTTTAATTGCTGTTTCTTGTTGAATACCATAAGTAATTACGTATATCCTCTTTGAAACTCAATTTTAGATACCAAGTGGCCCAGAAAAGTTTAACTCAGCATGTGGCTATGGAACGTAAGTGCATGTAATATAGATAAATTAGAGTCTGCCAATGTAGACTGCCTTCCTTTCTCGCTTCGGTCAAAATCGTAGTTGAAGTCACAAACACCCCCTTCTATTATCCCCAAAACACTGCAAAAACCAATATTATTGGCTCAGTTTGGTCGGAATGGACGGTAAAAAATTTTACTCTCGGTCATAAAGCACTGACCTGGCTGTGCTCTATTCTTACGTATCGTCCTGCCTGGCCTTCCCACTCAGTCAATAAGTCATAGAATTAACATTAACGAGGTGACCTTAAATGTAAACCATCCAGCAGCTAAAGGTAAAGGTTGATGTGAACTCTTCATGTTCCCCATTCCACCAGGGTGACCTATGTCATTTTGCTTTCCTAAGCGAACACAAGAATTAACTCGTGCAGATAAATAGAGTAGTTCCAAAAAGAGAGACTATTGTATTTTGTTACGCTTCGTTTTATTTCCTTTTCTTTATCTTTGCTTTTGCTTTTGTCGAATACAGGTTTCCACGCATAATCATTTCTTATTCTTATCCTTATCAATGGGAGACAAACAGCTGTAATAATATTGACGTGGGCTACCGCATATACTCCGACTGCCACAGAGGTAATAGAGATGTTGATATGTGATGATGAGTTATATGAACTCTCTTCTTCGACTGCAATGACATGTAAAAGACCAAGAATAACGAGAGACATTCAAATAAGATCCACCATTTGGTGGCGTAATTAAGTAAATCCAGAGAGACGAAATTTTGGAACTTAGCTCCATGCTTTTTTTTACTTTAGAAAGTATTTAATGATATAGAGTTAAAAGAACTTGCGGCTGCGGAGAAATTTCCAAGTCATATATTCAACAGTTTAATTGGAACGAGATGCGGGAGATTGCGTCAGTCACACACGCAAAGTCAGTTTCAGGGACGCTCTCAGGAACAAAAACTTGAACTTGAGCTTAATCCCTTCCTTTTCCTCCCAAACCCCCCTTACTTCAGAGTAAGAATAAAATCTCCTCTTTTGGGTGTGACCAAGTGCGCATTTCAATTATCACCTCTTTCTCTTTCCCTAATCTGTTATTTCGACTGTTTTTGTTTCTGGTCGCTAGTTTTCGACGGAAATTGATTTTAAATATATTTGATTTACGACTGATTTTTTAACGATTTCCCCCCTAACATCAGCACGGATATTGCCCGTCTTATTCTCGATGCATTTACCAAGATGCTGGCAAGGATAATATGTCGCTAGTCACTCTAAGGGGTTAGAGAGTTAAAACTGTATAATCTTCTTGTACTGGTGAAACCTTAGAGATCTACTTCACAATACCTTTCTATTTCAACTTACGTGAAGAGATGTAAGACCTTGTATGATAGATTAACGTGTGAGCCGTGGAGCACCAAACTTCGATGGCAAAATCATGTGTTTTAAAATAGCCTCCGACTCCCATATCTCATTCCATTTGAAAACAGATCATATAAGACGAGCCTTGTATGGTTTCCCACAGTGCCGCGGCGAAAATAATCATGGAATCTACTACAACAACTCAGGGATGTTGTTTGTAAAATAACCCTGCTTCAGAGAAATATGGTGAGTTATGTCGGCATTCTAAGAATCAGTTAGTAAAAAGCGGAATGAACTCTGATGGTATTACCATGAACTATACTTTCCAATCACATTATTACAAATTTTTATATTATTCATCCAACAGCCCTTCAAAGACAAGCATTGCATGGTTATCCTCTGAGCTCCAGCAATAGCCGTGGAATCTTTTTAAACAAATGCGGGATGTTGTTTGTAAAGCAGTGCTATCTAGGAGAGATTTGGTGGAATATGTTTTGTTTTGGTTTTGTTTTGTTTTGTTTTGTTTTCATGGTGATAAAGCCCTGTGATGGTGCACAGTTACGCTTAAAAAAACAAAAGAGAATTTTTTCCTTTTCATCGAGATATAATGTTACTTTAAAACTTACTTAGCCTTAGGTATCTCAAGTCACAAGCTTAGCAAAGAAAATAATTAACGTTTAAAGTCACTCCTACCATTTAAAACCTGTACCACGATTTTTGCCATTCTTTATGTAATCAGTTGATTAACTTATAAGTACGTAAAAAAAGAAAGATTATTTGAGTGTCCCTGTTCCCTTAAGGGACAGATAGATACTTATACGATTCCTATAAGATCGTGACAATTATATATTCTTGCTAAATTCGGGTTTCCGAAAATTGTTCGTATTCTTAATCTGAGACTAGACCCTGTGAGCAGGGTAACTGGGATACCTGGATGGTACTGGATCCTTGGAATCAAGTGTAGTGATACTACGGGTGTCGGAATAGTATACCGAAATAGTGCGCTCAAGTCTGACCAAGGGCATACACCTATTTGAAAACATAGGCATGCTATGCATGCAAGAGTTACTTTTTCGTAGGGTTAGTGGATTACTTGAAACATTGTGAGTGATGTCTACATTCTTACAAAAGGAGAGAAGAATATTAATGTGGGAAAGAACGAAAATGTCGAATTACCTCACTCACAGGTATTTTGTGGTAGATTATGTGTGTTTTGCGAATAAATGTAACCAAAAATAAACTGTATTGGTGCCACGGATACCTGTTAGTACAAAATGCAGACAGCAGACTGCAGACCGGATACAAAATATAGACTGCAGACTGCAGAGTGGGTACAAAATGCAGACTAAGAATCTGAAGAGTTTTTACGTCTGGTATATAATAATATGTCATCTTACCAAGATGTCAGCTTACCAAGCGTCACGCAATCGCTTTTCTGCGATCCGCCTTCACGATTATTTGCACTATTGTGGAATATTCCTAGCCCATTTCTTGATGAAAATCGATCGTAATACTATTTCAATCCTTCAATATAGTCTTCTTACTTTGAGCGCGAGTTGGTTGGTGTGATGTCTATACAGATTTTACCAACGTAATAAAAGTAGATGACGTGAATAACAGTGATGGTAAAGCAAGCTTAAAAAGGCAGAAATCGCCAGAAAATACAACGGATGCACAGGGTATGAGTAAGTTTTATTGATTTTACGAGAAAAAATGTTCATATTTCGAAATATGTATCGTTGTAGATCGACCATACTTCGTTCCCTATACTATTCCTTATAACGTGCAGTTCCTCTCGTAACTTAACACCGAGTCACACAACGCGTGACGCGTTCATGAATTAATCGTTGGCTTTTTCTCGAGACGTGAGCTTGGGCCGCCTGTGACAAGACAATTGCGTAAACAATATTTAGCATAATAACATTATACACAAATAAACACAGGGTTTTGGATCACGTATTTATTCAAAAAGAATATCCATAAAACTACAATGAAAACAAACATAAGATTCACCTTTCTGATCGTGAAATTAATACCATTCGTACTGTTATCATAGCTACGTTCCTTGCCATCAAGTGAATCCAACATGTCGTCTTTCTTCACAAGCAGTTTGCATCCACTATAGTTATGTTCTTTAGTCTCACGGTAGTAGTGTTGTTCAATAGATTGCATAGAGTATATGCAGTTTGGTTTCAGATTTCAGATTTTGCTTTTTACAACAAGTGAACGTTTTTCAACTAAGACATTGGCATACGTAGCATACAAGGCATTCAAGGCTTTCATGGCTTTCAAGCGTTGGCGACTCAATCCGTTCCAAAATAACGGCTCAATAACATCTTTCAGTGTGGATTAGCCGCGATTGATACGACTTGTATAAGCGTCTATAAGTATTTTGCGCGTTTGCGCCATAGTGCTACAGGAGATCGCAATCCAAATACGTTTAAATACAAAACAACTGACCAAAGAGTTTAATAAGCAAAATCTCGTGATTCGTCATGTGACCCGGCCCTGTCTGTGCATGACAACGTCAATCATCATCAAGATAACACGCGTGATCAGCATGTGAACACCTCATTGGATCACAATTAGTTGCCATGGTGTTGAGGGATAACACGCGTGATCAGCATGTGAACACCTCATTGGATCACAATTAGTTGCCATGGTGTTGAGGGATAACACGCGTGATCAGCATGTGAACACCTCATTGGATCACAGTTAGTTGTCATGGTGTTGAGGGCCCAATGACCTCTGGGTACTATTGCGCAATTTTTCCATTTTGTGGCGGTGGAAAAAAAAAAAGACGACAAGAAAACAAAGGCATTTTATGACTGGGCTACCACAGGTATCCCAGTAAAAAGGTTTTGGTCAAACCCAAGAAAGAAAAAAAAAAAAAAACAGGTCACTATCCTCGTTTGGGAGAAAATCACGATTTAAATCTTAAGTGATCTACGACCATCGAGAAAACGTCCCCACTTATTGTGTGCGCGCACTAGTTTGGTTTGAAACAGTAATGAGACAAAATAATTTCCCTTCCAACCTTTTTCGAAGCGCATTATTATTTCTTTTACATTTGTATACCCCTTGGGATATGGGTTACCCACACCAGATACAATCCAAACCCAAATTAAACCTTCTCTGCCGACGCCTGAATTGTATGATTCCAAGGTCCTTCTGGCATATGAAGCTCCGCACCTTGTACAGATTTTTACTTTTTGACCATTAATGCTGAGAGGGTTTCTCGGGTGCTTTTCTGGATCAGACGGTCAATCGACAAGATCGAGTCAATATTACAATTGTGTTTTACATGCAACTGCTCATAAAGCCACGTGAGAACTTGCGCGTCTAACTAAGAACTTGAGTCCTGGGTTACGATTCTTGGAAGAAACCAAATTTCGTTGATCTCTGTCGTCGCTGTTAGAAGCTTAAATTTTTTCATTTATTTCCTGTAAAAGTAGCTTGTCGTGACGACTCTTATACAGTTTTTCTGCTAGCGGGTAACTCAAAATCAAACCCAAAAGAAACAAAAAACCAAATGCAGAACAAGATTTCGAGACAATGTATTGTACTTGATCGGATTCTTGAGTAAAGGCAATGTATAATTGATTAAATTTTTAGTTGCATTGCTTGGAAAAAAAAATAGGTGCGCAATGCGTACATGGTCGGACATGTAACGTCTGAGGAAGGAGTTTTGAAGTGATCCTTCGTCATTTTATTTCAAATATGAAGAATGGATATGTAAATATAAAATCAACTACTAAAATTAATTTATTGAAAGAAATTGAGGCTTTGAAAAAAAAAGTCAAGAAAGTTTATTTTAAGTTTGATACCTTAGAGTTTTTCAGAAGTGGTTTCATGGGCACTTGTTGTGTTTTGAGTATTTGAAATTTATTTATATTTTGGTCAAGGATGTATGAAAGCATTGGGTAACGAAGAGTTTCTCAATACCTGTGTTTCTTTAACAACATTCTTATACGAATTATACATGCATCAACACAACAATTTAAACAAATCTATCGAAAGGTATCAGTTAATCAGATGGCTTGGAACAGTTCTTGATTTGCCGGAGGATGTCTAAAGGCACTGAGGAATAAACAGTGTCTTGATACCCGTGTGTCTTCAAGAACATTCTTGTATGAAGTTATACATTTATGAACAGAACAATGTAAACAAAGCTAATAAAAGTCATCAGTTAATCAGATATGGTTTAGAATATTTGTTGATTTGCGGAAGGATGTCTGAAAGTATTGAGCAACGAACAGTTTTTGGATACCTCTGTTTGTTCAAGAACGGTGTTATAAATTATGAAGTTATACGTCTATCAACACAACAATGTAAACAAATGTAACAAAACGTATCAGTTAATCAGATGGTTTGGAATATTTCTTCATCTACTGAAGGAGGTATTGAGCAAGAAACAGATTTTTGATACCTGTTTCTTCGACAACATTGTTAAACAGGAAGTTATATTTGTATCAACAGAACAGTGTAAACAAATCTAACAAAAGGTACGAGTTAATCACATGCTTTGGAGTATTTCTTGATCTACTGAAGGATGTCTGAAAGCATTGTGTAACAAACAGTTCCTTGATACTAGTATTAGTTCAGTGACAGTCCTACAGTATATATGTATGAAGTTGTACATCTATCAACAATGTAAACAAATCTAATAAAATGCATTGTTACTCAGCTATCTGGAATATTTCTTAATCTGCTGAAGGATGTCTGAAAGCATTGTCTAGCAGTTTCTTGATACCAGTATTACTTCAGTAACAGTCTTATATATGTATGAACTTGTACATCTATCAACAAAAAAATTTAAACAAATGTAACAAAATGCATTGTGAATCAAATATTTTAAACATTTCTTGATCTGCTGAAGGATGTCTGAAAGGATTTTTAACTTGAACAGTTTTTTGATACCAGTATCACTTCAGTAACAGTCTTATACATGTATGAACTTAAAAATCTATCAACACAAAAGGTAAACAAATCTAACAAAATGCATTGTTCATCAGATATTTGAAATATTTTTTGATCCATTGAAGAATGTATAAAACCATACAGTTTCTTCAATAACATTGCTATATGAAGTTACTTATCTATGATTTAAGCTTGAGTACTGTTAGTTGTGATTGCATGATGTTACTTTGTTGCAGTATTATATGAAGTAACAGGTGTATGATTTAAGATGGAGTTCTGGTGGTTGTGATTGATGTTACTTTGTTG